AGCCCATGTCGCGACATGAAAGGCCCTATATCGCGATATGACAAACCCCGAAAAACCGCCCCGCCCCCATGTCGGGACATGGAGCCCGCATATCGCGATATGATATACCCAGCCAAAATGCCCACCCCCTCATGTCACGACAGGGAGTCCATATATCGCGATATGAAAAAATGCCCCGCCCCCATGTCGCGACATGGAGCCCGCATATCGCGATATGATATACCCAGCTAAAATGCCCACCCCCCCATGTCGCGACATGGAGTCCATATATCGTGATATGGAAAAAATGCCCCGCCCCATGTCGTGACATGAAAGGCCCTATATCGCGATATGACATACCCCGACAAAAATGACCCGCCCCCATGTCACGACATGAAGTTTATATGTTACGATAGGACATACCCTGACAGGATATGCTGACCCCATGACGTGACACAGTCCATATATCACGACACGTCCTATCTGGGTATATCATGTCCTGATATGAGACCTTTGTTGCGACAGCAGTGCCAGGGTGGCATGGAAGCAAGGCGCCAGTCGTGATATACACTGCCGCGATAAACCTGAGATATACGTTGGGTCCCTATCATGCCATGCTGCGGAAGTCTTGTCGCGATAGTATGCCGCAGTTATGCGTTTGGCAACAGCGGAAAAAAGGAAAACGTGCCTTAGAAAATAAAAAACCATAGATCTTACAATCACGGTGATTTTACATATATTACAACCACAGGTTTATGTCATAGATGGTTAACTTGTTGGCATGCGTCATGTGTTAGTATTATTCACATCTAAGGAGGCTCATATGCTTATGGATATTGATTGACTTTAAAATGTTACGGATACGAGCTAAACTGTAACAGAGCGCTTGAACTCGGCAGACGGGGTCACTGGAGGTCAAAGTCACCGTGCACGGTCAAGTGATCACCGGAAAAACAAGGCTCTATATCTCGGGAACGAAAGCAGCACAAACGCTACTGTCAAAGGCACAAACCGGCACAAACGTAGCACTAACGAATGAGGTGGGTTTCATCGTTTGTGCTGTCTGTAGGGGGGCCAACTTTACGGAGCTAGCAAATCGCCCTAAATCACCTGATTTTATAAACAAGATTAAGAAGACTTCTAAGTTATTGACTAACAAACTAAAATATTTAATTAAAGCAACTTTACTCCTTGAGGGTTGATGGGTATCCTGGTTTGTATCTTAAATAATCTCTAAACTACTTAATTTAACAAATCGCCTGTTTAATTGGCCGCAGTTTAATAGAACTGGATATTTAAAAGTCGTGATGCAATGTCTATTATATTTATTATACTGGGGCTCTTCAAGGCTGGACACCCCTGGTTAAAAGGAATACTGGAATGTGTGAGATGTTAATTTCATTTGATCTATGTAGTCCATTTGGTAGTTAGTAGCAAATTGATCTAAAGATCTCATCCAGCTGTGTCTTGAGAGAAGCCATGGTATCAGCTTCATCAACGTGATTGGGCAGCTTGTTCCACTCTCCTACCACCCTTTGTGCAAAGAGCTGCCTCTGTGTCCATCTGTCCCCTCTGGTTCGTGATTCACTGTTCATTCACGAAGCTGGCTCGGTTTTTTTTAAAGCAACAGCACCTCAGGAGAGAAGTTATTTACATTGTCCAATTAAGTCAATAATGAGCGCAATCTGATCGTAATAGCTCAGCTGGAGTAAAAAGCTGTAGACACACTGGGTTTCCAGGAAAACGTTTGGGAACCCTTGCTTTAAAGCACTCGTTTTAATCATTATTTACGGTTAAAACTGGAAATCGATACACTGATTCTGTGCAGCACTAATAATATCTATTACATCGTCAATCAAAACAACCTTGGTTAAATTACATTAGCTGTCATTTTGGACTATGTGCACGGTCGTTATTCGAGCGGAGGCGGAGAATAATTTTTTTTTTTAAGCCAGTTAAAATAACAAGGCGAATGCTTTATTTCTGATCTAAGCTCTTCATCGGCGAAGGAGTTCCAGAGAAAACAGTCTCTCGCAAAACGCATTTTGAACGAAGGAGGGTTTAAAACCCTTTTGTCCTTCGTGACGAGCCGTAGCGGTGGGCGGAGTGACATGGCAGCCAAGGTGAGAGGGGAGCTTTTCCCCCGATATATTTGCAACAGGAGCTTTCATTCACTTATTTGCCCACCAACCCCTTTTTATAAGAAATAACGGTTAAGATCTTATTTTATGTTAAAGTATTATTATATGTTTGGGTTTATTTAATAGCATTTAAATCGCTTTCGAGAGACTCATTACTGTCAGCTACTGTTCTGTCATTTCGCCCGAGTAGATTTGGAGAAAAAATTGTTATTGATAGTTAAAAACTTAAATGAGAAACTTTTTTTTTCTTTTATTGTAAGGAAACAGTGTGATTCTTTTGTGACGCAGCTGGAGATTGCCGGCATTTCACTTAGTCTAAAGTGTGCCAAGTAATCATCAGTCTTGTTAAACTCTAATCTGATTGACGTACTACATGCATTTTTTTCTAAATATGTAGGAAGCTATATGGTATATAAACATTAAAATCGCATGACAGTTTTTATCCCGTATTGTTGTATTTCAATTATTTTGTCAGTTATAAAAACATTTAGACCCACGTGAATGCAGCACATCAATCTGAACCTCTTTCGCCTTGCAAAAAACATGTTTTTGCTATGTTAAAACTGCATAGTGGAGACTTTAAAATTATGATGATCAAAAACTAAAGTATTATGAAGCATGTTTGCGCTAGAAAGTGATATTAATGCTTGATCACCCATCAGATTATGAGTCATATGTTCGGCAGTTATTGCTGAGTGTGTCGTGTTCAGTAAGACTATCTCAGACAGGACACGTAAGAACAGTAATAAAGTAGCTAAACTGCGTTTGATTACTACAACTAATCTGTTGAATTATACTGTCATTTGGATGAGACGCACTTCTGCGAGAACGGCAGGTGGCAGCAAACTTTAAAATTTCAGTTGATAACGTAGCTACAGCGTTCTGTGGGTATTTAATAAAAATAGTTCAGGTGCGTAGCTGCGTTAGTATGCGTAGTCTGCGACTAGGTTTATTTCATGCTGAAAAGAGAAGAGAGAAAACAACGTTTCGGCGTGTCACACGCCTGAAGAAGGCTTCACAGCCGAAACGTTGTGTTTCTCTCTTCTCTTTTCAGCATGGAATAAACCTATTACTTGTTCATTTAATAAAAATGTTGCTAAATCCCTTGTTGCAGCAAGATGTGTTCAAAGCGATCGTGCTCTTGTGTCCAGTTCTCGTCATTATCCCAGAGGTCTTTGAACACGAGAACGTTTGCAAAATCAAGGTGCCCCGTGAAACTGCTGTGCAGTTTTCGCATAAAAATCTCTGTCATATAATTGCCCCCCCCTCCACACACCACAGTTTTCTGCAGCGCTGCGCTAGTTAACCTACTGCCTGCGGGGGGCGCTGCTCTGCTCCGCAGGTGCTGGCGCTGGCGGCGGTTCCGGGGGCGCTGGGGCTCGCGGCCCTGCGGGTGCGCGCGGCGGGGGACCCGCTGGAGAAGGAGAGGCTCGTGTCCCCGAAGCAGGTACCCTCATTGTGTGCTCAGGGCACGCTCTCCCCTGCTCCTGGGAACGGCTCTTCATTCCGCCTTCGATCTCTTTAGTTTCTGGATCGGAAGTGGACTTAATCGGTCTTAAGTGCTGCTGTTTCCCAGTATTTAGCCATCAGGTGTTAAACCCGGAGTCCTCTTCAGTATTGCTGACATCAGCCCCTAGAGCCACTTTAGCCAGTAAGAGTTTGTGTGGGCAGCCGGAGCCTATCCCAGCAAGCAACAGGTGCAAGGCAGGCGACGCCCTGGGCAGGCTGCCAGTCCATCACAGGGCAGACACTCACGCCAGGGCCAGTTTTCCCAAAAGCGTATAAACATACCAGTATGTTTTTGGACTGTGGGAGGAAGCCCATGGGAACACAGGGAGAATATACTCACTCCACACAGATGGGAGTCTGGGAATTGAACCCAGGACCCCAGCGCTGCACGGCAGCAACGCTAATGACTGCGCCTCTGTGCCGGTCCTGCGGTTGACACCTAGTGTCAATCCTTTCATGCATGGGGACGAAATTATCAACTGCCCTCGTGTATCCATGTCCACGTACACTTGTATTACCCCTGTCGGTGCCTCTTCTGGAGATCTCGGGGATATTCCTTCCTGATCCTGCGGGGCTGCGGTCTCCCAGATTACATGAGGAATGTCCTCCATTAGGAAAGGCCTGGACGCCGTGTTAATACAGACCACGTAAGTGAACAGCTGGTTCAGATCACATCATCCAGTCCAGACTGAATACCGGTGATCTAGCTGCTGCCTGAGAGTGAAATTGGCCCCGCTTGTCTTGGGAATATCGCAGTGTTACGTGTTTTTGACCTCCTCCTCCACGCCAGGCTCGTCCTGCGAGTTGAGCACAGGCAGCGAGGAGACAAGCGGGCAACTCTCGTGTGCGGGGGGTGTTTTTAACGGCTTTCCCTTGCTCCCTCTCCGCCCCCCCCCCCCGGCGTGGCCAGATGTCCGTCTACGCCCCGCCCGCACAGAAGCTGCAGTTCGTGGAGGAGCAGCCAGGACGCCTGCAGACGGGACTGGCGGGGGCCAGGGAGGGGCTGCGGCCCTACGTCCGCTCCGTCAAGGTATGGCCCGGCCCGGCCCAGGAGCTGGGGGTCCTGTCCTCCCCCTCAGACCGCGAGGCGGGAATTCGCAGGGGCCTGGGAAGAGATCTCCACTCTCATCCCGAACTGCAGGCTGCCCTCCAGCCCATTCAGCCAATAAAAATGGTTTGATTGGATTTGTCGTATTGACACAAGTGACGCATCCACTGTGTGTCTGGTGCATGTCCACGACCGCAGGCGCCATCCGGGCCTTCTCTCTGATGAGCTGGGAGGTCTTGAGCTCGTCTCCGATATCTTCTGTTTTTCTCGCGCCAGGGTGCCTGTTCTTCAGTCAAAACAGGAGTGATAAACGTCGTCGACTTTGTGCAAGGTGAGCTGGGTCTGTGTCGCTCTGTATGTGCTGTTACAGTCTTGCACTGCCCCCATCACCTTTCACCTTTCACCTCTTCTCCCTTAGACACCTACATCTACCTGAGAGACCCGCCCCCAGGGTTTCTGCCCCGGGTCAGCCTCATGACTGTGTCAGGATTGGCCGGCCTGGTCTTGGCAAGGAAAGGTGATTGGTTGGTTTTCCGTCAGTCATTTACAGTTTTTGCATATGTTGTGTATTGCTGAAATAGAACAAAGACTAGTTGGGGAAACTACGGTTCGTGTTTTTTGGCTCCTGCGGTCCGTTTTATTCTTCTGTCAGTATTTTTGATCACCTTTATTTGCTAAATTCACAAGGGTCTGGCATTCTGAGCCGATAGGGAGGTGTTTTTGCCTGTGTGGAAGGATTGATGGTGAATATGAAACTCTCTGCTCAGGGTCCCGTTTCAAGAAGCTGGTGTTCCCCGCGGGCCTGGTGGCAGCGGGGGCGGCTGTGTGCTACCCAGCGCAGGCAGTGGCCTTTCTGAAGGTAACTCCTCTTTCCCACCTCCTCCTAGCACACCAGCTGTCGTTCCGAGTCCTTCTCTGGGCTGAAGTTTCCCGGTCAGTTCCTGACCAGTGTGATCGGAACAGACGCTTTTATTTTTGCTTGGCAATCCAACTTTCGACGCACCCTTCCTTTGCAAATTATAACCCGAGAGCTTGATGTTGTTGTTGTTGTTTGTTTATTGGCGTGGGGTGTCTTGTCACTGTGCAGTGGGAAGTCCAAACGAACTGTAGTTATAAGTCTGTGGGCGAGTCAGTGTTGTCATTCGCTCCAGGCCCAAACCAGGGAGGTGTTTGAGTGGGTAGGGAGTGCGCATACCTGCATGTGTGTGCGCATATCTGCATGCGTGTGCGTGCTATCGTTTGTGTGTGCTGCCCCTTTCTCTCCGTGCCCCTCGTGGGCTTGGGCGCTGCCAGCGGAGTCCAGGCGCTGACGGACCGTGGTGCGTTTCCTAGGTGACGGGCAAGAAGGCGTATGCGGCAAGCCAGTGGACCAGCGGTGCTGCCAGTTCGCTATGGAAACGGAGCGCAGCCAAACCGGCGGGCCCAGAGGTACTGGCGCAGTCTGCGTCGCGGTCACCGCCTGACACCGTGCGAGTTCCGCTGCAGGACCGGTCGCTTTTTAAATGATTACTTTTTGGATATTAAACCCGATAATAAAACGCATCATTATCTGTCTGGAAAAAGAGAGAAGGTTGTTCAAGTCTTTGAACAAACTCCAGTGCGTGGGGTCACGCAGTCTGCTGTAGGTCCGTTTGCACGTTCACCCTCTGTCTCTGTCTCCCCTAGCGGTCGGCCTCGGCAAAAGAAGAACCCAGCCCTGCGCCTGTCCCTGGTCCTGAGCCAGAGGCTGCCCAGCAGTCGCCCCTTGCTGACGCCCCCCTTGTGGCTGAGGGCGTGGCCTCTGAAGCCCCTCCTCCCACCCCTCTAACACAGCCCCGCCCCCTCACCGCTGACCCAGCCTCTCCTGAGCCCCTGGCCAGTGACCCTCCAAAGCACCTGGAGTCTTCCTCGGCCCCAGAGGTCCTGCCCAGTGATTCCGGCTTGGTGACACCTGTAGCTGACGCACCCACAGGTACCCACACCACTGCACGCCAGGCAACCAAAGGGACCCACTCTGTAAATGAGTGTACCCCTACCCTTCCCACAGAGAGAAACGCACAGGAACAGCCCGATGCGTCTCCTGAGCACTGCAGTCTTCTGCTCAGTCACCTGAGTCAGGCCTTTAATATATAAGACACTGCAGCTCTGGTGCACGATAACATTTGCCCCTGGGGTGGTGCATGCAGATAATGTGTATCAATGAAGTGGAGGGTGCTCATTTTAATGCACTGGGACATTCCCACCTTAGTTTAGAATTCTCAGTTTGCCGCTTTCTCTTTGCAATACAAAGTATGAATGCTTTGTTTGGAGTGTGGTATATTTTGGGCTGCCTAGCCATGTTGAGGCCTGTACCCTGGCTTCATTCAGATGCTGGGATCAGTGAGCTGCTATCTACCAATCAGACTGGAGGGCCGAGTGGCCTCCTCTGGTCTGTAACCATTCTTATCGGTGGGAGATGCTCTACTCCCTCACCCACCAGGAGCTGTAGAGTTTGCAGCCTGGCAAAAGGCGAGTGGCCTTGCCAGAAGGGGGCTGCGTTGGAGGAGCCTGGTTACAGGACTCATTCTCTCCGAGCAGTACAGGAGGTGGAAGCCTCACCATTCGCCGCTTCCAGATTGCATGGGCATAAAAAGCCATGATGTGTTTTTAAAAATAATAACGGAATCTGTGTTGCCAGACTCTGTGGTGGTGGTGGTGGTGGTGGTTGTGTGACTGTCACTGGCTTAACGGACACATGGTGGCCGACGCCGACTCTTCTGCTCCTCTGTGTTCTCAGATGCCCCGGTGAAAGCGCGGTTCACCCCTGACCCCAGGCTGGCGGATCACGGCCAGGCCAGCCCTGAAGACGCAGACCTGTACAGCACGCGCAGCTGAGCGGGAGGGAACCTCACCCCCCCCGTCTGCTCTCGACTGTCCCCCATCGGTACTCGGACACCAGGCGGGGCTGCCGGTCCGGACTCCTGCCCGACCGCTGTCAGGGCCGAAAAACACATCTTATTTAAGAGCTGCAGTACATACAAATTAAAGATTACATGGCATTAATGTTTGCAGGTTCTGGTAATAAAAATCTAAACCTTCCCCCCACCCCGACCAGGCAACATCACATTTGTTATTGATTCTATGCAGACTTAGACTATGGAGGTGATGTGCCTTTGCCAGAAACCCCTTAATTTACAAGCGATATCCCCCCCCCCGAGACTGTGCCTTTGCTGCATCACTTCCATGTGCAAATTTAAATCAGAAGGATGTGCAACAGTACCAGCAAGGGAGGCCGATTGGATCTGCAGGCGCAGAAAGGCGTGTCCTGGACCCCTGTGCCTGGAGGGGGGGCGCCAGCGAGGCAGCCTCCCCAGCCGCCAGCCCGTCGCTCGGGGTGCGCCGGAGTTTGCGGATCACTCGGCGCCGAAGGGTGCTGACGGGTGGGCGTGTCGCAGGAGCTTGCCTGAGATAGTGGGGGCTCTGCTGCTGGGGGGTCAAGCTGTTAAACAGTCAGCAGGCACTTGCATTTGTTTTCCCCACACTTGAGTCATCCCCCCCTCCCCCCGGTGTAGAGCCTAGACCTACAAATATTCGCAGAATTTTGTCCACCTCTCATTTTGTTATGCTAGATTTTTAGCTTGTGTATGTGTGTGGGTAGACACCGTGCGGGGAAGATGAATGCGCACGTGATTAAATTTGCACACATCGATACAGAACCCAGGAGGAAGAAGTGGACTAGGTTTGCAGTCTGCCAGGACTGCCTGTGGGTATTTTTGATATGACTGCATTCCAGTGGAATAAAAAAAAAAAATACTCGTAACGTAGTTATTCTTTTCCTTGTTTCACCTCTGGTGCTGTCTGCAGGTGTCAGGGCTTCTTCCTGTTCTCCTGTCTGCAGGTTTCCAGACTTCCTGTTCCGGTTGGATCTCATGCGGATCTTTCTTATCCTTATCCTTTAATTGGGGATCAAAGCCGGCGTTTCAGCTTCTCAAATGCACTAGATCCAGCACTTCAAATGATTACAGGTGTTGTGCTCCCCTGTGATCGCTTTCATTGCAAATTCTCATTTTGTTTTTCTAGCCTAGCAGCATAACCATAAAATAGAAAGCATAACCATTTGCAGAGTCCTCATCCAATAAATCTTGAAATCCAGGATCTAGTTAATTTGCTGAGTTTTTTGCCTGTCATGAGTATTGTGTGTGTCTGCGAATATATATATATTTTCCTGAAGACTGCTCTGTAGTTGTGCTGTGCAGCAGTACTGCATAACAGCTGTACTGGGGATGTAGCAATTGTAATGTAACAAGGAAGGAGTTCTGGAAACAAGATAAAAAGTCCATTGGAAAGTCCCTGCATATGATCAATTTCTAGATCTCGATAATAAATATGAAACTTTAATCAGCTTCTGCGTTTTTTTTTCTTCAGTTCCTTATTTCTTTCACCAAACCCAATTCTGTTTTAGCACAGGGAATAGTCAGGTGAAACATCAAAAGACCTCTTTACTGCATAGGTAGTATGCAGTAGTTTTCTATCATCGGGAACTCCTTCTGCCGAGGTCAGTTCTTATCCTTCAGGGAAACAGCTTGTATAATAAGCCATATCATGGGAGGAATTTGTCTTGTGATATCGTGCTGTGATGTATTCTGCTGCGCTCATCTCATTGCCCTTATATTGCAGGTAGGTCAAGGTTAACAAGAACACGTTCTGACTTCCAGTAACTCGGCTGCTCAAAGTCCTGTGCTGAGCTGGGTGTGAGGGCAGGGCTGTGATGCTCCACAAGGCCCATCATCTCTAGAGCAAACCCCAGGTGGGGAAGACCGCATTCCTGCAGGGTTCCCCTGGGCTGTGGTGACCAGAGCTCTCGGCTATAGAGTGGAGATAATTACTGCTTAATTGGAGAATTTCTTACCAGGCTCCAAAGTGTTTTGTAAGACACTACTTCTACTGAAGTGAATGTTTTGAAATATCAGCAGTAAACGGCCTTAGGAAACACCCCCTTATGTGCCTAAGCAAATGGTTACAGTAGGTCCATTGTGTGATTGACAGCTCAGGTGGACTCTCGGGGGGGGGAGGATTCGGGAATCTGTGAGCTCCGGGATCCCCCAGATTCTGGGTTCTCCCCATTAGCTCCTCTGCCAAGCGGAGGCCCCATGCGTTCGGACTTGCGGTTTGTCTGGTGCCGAGCTAGACTACTGCTGCAAGAAAGTCATCTTCAGGGTAAACCTAGCCTGACGTCTCACCACAGCCTACACCTGGCTCACCTTCCCCGTGAGTGGCTGAGCAATCGATTGTTTATGCAAGGATTTGTGAGGTGAGGAATGTATCAATGCCTAAGGCTTCGTGTTTGAAACTCCACCTGTTATCTTAAGGGCTGGAAGGAGGGCAATATGCAGGTGTGCTCTGGAGCATCAGAGAAGAGAGGAGAATCTGGAAACAGATACAGAAGGCGAGGAAGCAAAAATGGATTTTTAACTGTCAGAAACGCAAGAAAAATGGAATTACAATAAAGGTTAATAATTGTCAGCACATTCAGAGCTGGGAAACAGGTGATCTTTGCCCCTGGAGCTGGTCTAGTGCATGTATGTCTGTGTGTGTGAGTGCACGTGTGAGGATCTAGCTGGAGACTTCTTGTCAGAGGCAGAGGGCACCATCAGGGCAGGAGGAGACATGGCTTGGTGCTTCGTGCTGGGATTCGTCCTGCTGCTGAGCTCTTCTTCCTTCGGAAACAGCACCACCGCCGCACCAGATGGTAAGGAAACCCGCTGCTTTCCCTATAACTGGCCACAGCTTTCAGGGGGAGCAAAACCAGATCAAACGACAAAGACCTACTTTTATTTTTGTGTAGAGTTGTCTTTTCGGAAATGTAGGATCGTGCTGGATGACACTGATCCTTTTATAACTTATACCATATACCATATATACCGTATATACCATAGTAAAAGCAGGTTGAGGTACTAACATACGGCACTTAATGTATGATCAAACATGAGACAGACACAGTATGTGAAAACATTATTTACAGTAGTTATAGTACATCTATATAAATGCAGTGGTGATTGTAGGCACCTTCATTTACAGTTGGTTTTTGTCACATCTTTTAAAAAGATGGTTTGATTGCTTATCTGAGACCATTCTCTGTAGCCAGCTGGGTAGCTTGAATGAGTTTGTTTGCTCTGCAGAAACGTCGCAGAAAACAAAGATGCTCATTCCAGATGAAGCCATTCTCAAGAGTCCCTCTAGATCGTTGTTTTGATCACTCATTGTACTTGCTGGAGATTTGGGTTATTATCTGAATTATTTGTGGGTTTTATCCAATGAGCTCTACAAAATGGGTGGATGCAGGCCTTGTTTAAAAATGAAACCATCTGCTTGCACAGGTGATCAGAGCTCATCCAGGCAGAAAAATAACATCCAAAGACAGGGAGAGCTCCTTCTTTCACCTGGAAAGTCCCTCGTGGACAAGTTTTCCTTGAAGGAAAACATAAGAAACTTCCAACGGGTTTGTCAGGAGTGTAAGATGCTTTTCCGAAAGCTCCAGGCTTCAAACCGAAAATGGGACACACTCTCTTTTTCTTCCTGCTCACTCACCTTCCATTGTGTCTGGGATCTGTTTTCAGTGTTCTGCGGATCTGTGGAGGACTTCAATGAATGCAAAAACGCTTTGCAGTATACAGGGTGTGTGGCCGACCGAGGGAAGTGTTCCTGTAAGGATCACAAGCCCTTCTGCAGGTAAGAGTTCAGGTGCAGCATGACCTGGCCAGGAAGAGTGTACAGAGCACCACAGACCCCGACCCCCCCCCAGCATGTGAACAGGCTGCATGGCTCCCAGCACTGGTCCTGTTGGGAGGATGTGAGGAGTGGGGGTCTGTGTGTCCTCTAGCTTTTGTTCCGCCTAAATTCTTATTTTCTAGTCGATTTGGGTGGGTTTTCCTTCTAAAACTGTCCAAAACAGCTCCTAAATGCACAAGAGGGATTTGTGATCAATGGTATCAGCCCCGTACTGTACCTCGCTCCTTCATAGCTTCAGAGCTGCTCCTCCCTGCTCAACTGCAATGGAAACCGGCAGACACAGGGCGCCCCCTGGTGCTAGGGTTTGGGAAACACTAGAAAGATGTCACCTGCTGCAGAAAGCCCTGTCTACGGACCAAAACTGTGCACTTTCATTTAAAAGCTCACTCAAAACCCACCTGTTCAGTGAGTGAGCATGCCTAGGCTGCAGAGGAACCAGTTAAAGGTTGATTCCCTGCTGAAATGAGAAAAAAAGAAACGTTTCAGCTGTGGAGCCTTCTTCGGGTGGGACGTCTCTCCTTTCTTCTCTATTCAGCCTAGAATCAATCTTTAACTCGTTCCATTGCAGTCTACGCCTGCTTGGGCGGCTCCCGACTCGAACTATATCTTAGGATATTGTGCTGCTCTAAATCTCTGTGTATTTTATTGTATCACTTGTTGTAAACTGTGTTTCAGATCAGTATTGTACAATAACCTTTGCACCATGTATTTTTTTTTTTAAACTGAAAGAACTATTCCATGATTTACTCTTGCTTCCATTACTCTCTGTTGTATTGGTGGTGCCCTTCTGGTGCAATGTCCTAATGGCGTCTCTGAGAACACAACAGCCTGAGTCCGGCTGGAAAAGAGACGAGACCCTCTAGCCAGCGATTTTTATTTGCTCTGTGGATCTTTGTGGTCCTGCTGTTTCTAGAAGAAAGTGAGGATGTCAGCTCCAAAAATGTAACTTGATATCTTGTTCCAGATTTCTATCATTTTTATAGTTATTACAGAGTCCTATAATTCCTAAGATTATCCCAGATACCCATGATTCCTATAATAATTCTTAAAATTGTTCCGTATTTATAGCATTCCTTATTTTATTCTAGATTTCCACAAGTTCAATGATTATTTATCATCTTAATCTAGATGAATCTTGATCATTTCATATTTCACGTAATTTCATATTCCTTTAATCCAAAAGATCATTCCAGATACCCGTGATTTCTATAATTATTTCTAAGATTATTTTCCAGATTCCTATAATAATGTCTAAGTCGTCTCCAGCAAAAGTGGTTCCTAAATGATGGAATAACAGCGAAGAGAATACAGCAGCTCTTCGCCGTGCCCCGGGCACAGCAACGTCTCAATCCTGAAACACACACGCAGACATTAGATCATCGCAGGGGGACCTTGGCCTCCTGGAACGTGTATAAGACAGCATGCGAAAGAAAAAAACGACACGGCTGTGGCCTCCAGCTCGTAAGGCTCTAAAAGCTCTGGTGCTGGCACGGGGCCGTGACGTTCGCTGACGGGTTTGCTCGGCCGTGCGCTCGTCTTTTCTCAAACGGCCAATCGTCCCGGACTTGCCTCTTAGCGGACAAAATAGGAGTATAGGCTTTGACAATGTTCATTAAGAAAATGTATCGAAAGGGGGTAGGTGCAGTGTATATGAACTGGGAGTGTGGAACTCGCTTCCCGGGGCTATGTGGCTGAAGCCCGGACCCTGGTTGCTGGCTTCCCTCAGGGTCGAAGATCTTCGGATCAATGAGCTGCTCACTCCAAGCGGGAGGGGGGACCCCTGCTCTCGTTTCTAGCCTCTCTTACGCAGTGTGAATCACTAAAAGAAAGACCCCTCTCTGCGTGTTTCCTGCCTGCCCCTCCGCAGATGCAACAACTACAGACAGGGAAGTGTCGACTACTGGTACCTGGGAACGGGCTGTGAGCAGGAGTGGAGCACCACCACCCTGATCCTGGTGGCTACCCTGCCTGGCCTGTGCCTGGCGCTGCTGGTGGGACTGGCGGTCCAGTGCGTGTACTACTGGGGGCTGTGTGAGAGAGCCCCAAAGAGCCCAGAGGCAGAGGAGGAGAGGTGAGTGCTGAGGACCAGCGGGCTAAATCAGAGAGATGGCAAACAGGGCCGTCAACATAATTATTTTTTATTTTCTGCGGCTGTGCTTGACTAATGCACTGAGCATTAATACGCAGATCACAGTTCAGTCCCGGTCAGTTTATTTGTCAGATGCGCAAGTGCAATGAAGTGCTTATTCGCAGGTGTGCTCCAATACAAAGACCTTAAAGGAATCACCAAAAACATAAACACAGAACAGAAGCAGCAACAACAAAAAGTTCAATAACATTCAATTAAAAAAAAAACATCAGTGTGAGCCGATCCGTAGAGGTAGAGATCAGTAATCTGTAAGCCTGTGGAAAGAAACTGTCTCTGAATCTGGAAGTTCGTGCCTTTATGCTCCTATAATGCTTATGGGGAAATGGGGGAGAAGAGTGAGAAACCAGTACGACTGGTATCCTTAGCGATACTTCCAGCCTTCCTGGACAGTAAAATGGCCAAAGGTCACAGGTCAAATTAACTTTTGTTATTTTCATATACTACAAAGATTGGTGCACATCACCTTTTCCCACACACACACACAAATAAATAGGCATGTTTCCATAGTGAGGTGCATTCTGGGGGTTATGGAATATGCTCCACTGTGGTATTTGTGCGTTTCTGCTGCAAAGCGCTCAGCGTTTCCCTGCTTTGGTTTGTTTCTCCCCTGTTCCCTCTAGGCAAAGCAAAGGACCCAGACTGTCCACGAGCCTCCCAGCCAGGCCCGTAGCCGTGAATCCGTACTCCAATCCCGCCTTCGACCCTGAGCCGGAACGTTCTCACTGGCAGCATGGGCAGCCCTGGAGGGCGGTAGGAAACAGGCTGAGCCAAGACACTGTTTTCTGGGGGGGGGGGGGGGGGGGTTGATCAGGACTGGGATTAGGCTCAGAGATGAGTGGATGTGGGTGAAGTCTATGTGCTCCCACTGGCTAAGTGCCTCCGTACCATCTGATGCGTGCTGGACAGTTCTGGGCTGATAATACTTTCTGATACAACATGCAGGTCTCACACTTGTATAGAGCGATCCGTTTCCCAGTGAAAGGTGGGTCAAAATGAGTCGATACGATGGCGCACAAGCTGTAGGCTGCGAATGCGAAGTCATTCAGCCCATATGGTTGTTAGTAACTAACTGATCCCAGGATCTCATGCAGTTGTTTCTGGAACTGTGTGGACCTGACAGTCCACCCACTGGAAACAGTGAAACAGGGTATCGGCTTCAACAGCATGACTGGGCAGCTTGTTCAACACTCCCACTACTCTTTGTGTAAATAAGTGCCTCCTGTTCTCAGTTTTAAATGTAGTTTCCACTTGTGCCTTCCCTTGTCCAATCTGTACTCTAAGTCTGAACATGAAACAGTTGAGTAAGAACATTAGTTTATTTTTACTCTGTGCATCCCTGATCATTTTACCGGATCTGATAGAAAACGTAAGACACACATTAAAACACACAAATTGATATCATTTTCTGTGAGGGTCATAGCAGGATCAGTCAGGAGTGTGAAATCTACCGCATAAGTTCACATAGACATGACTTTATGGTTGTCAAAGAGTAGGTTTCTAGCCAGTACACTTACACTGGAGTCCACTAGAGGACACTATTGGACAGAAAATGTAAAAAAAAGATTAGATTACTGGAATACTGCTGCTGCAGTGTTTGTGGTAGTTCTAGTAGTGCTGAAATACTCGCTATACTGTGCATGACTGGCCTCCAGCTGGAGTGTATAAGAACACAAGTAAGGGTTCAATCTGAGGAGGTGTTCCACCCCACTTTGCTTAGTTGGTTATAATAAAATAGCATCTTACTGATCCAAGGATCTTATTCCGCTGTATCCTGGAGGATCGAAGGGGATTTGTAGGTTCTGCTAGGCCAGGCAGTCAGTTTCATGCCCCTGCAATCCTTTGTGTGAAGAAGTGCTTCCTGATTTCTGCTTCACATTGTCTCCCTTGAGCCCTTGGGTCTTGTTTCATCTTTGTTCCGACGTTCTCAGGATCCTGCTGCAGTGTTGCTGGAAATCTCAACTCCTTTCGTTTTGAGGGTTGAAGATGCCAAGGTCTAAGGCTCCGACAGGGCCCGTCTGTTAACCTTTCCTCTCCCTTCCAGAGTATCCAACGGCCACAGGCTACACACCTGCACCCCCCCCTTCCAGATAATCGGCCACCACTGGCCCCCAGGGGAGAGCTCCCGCCAGTTCGCGGCCAGGGCTGGCCAAGGAGGTGAGGGGGCGGTGCTGAGGAATTCATCACGCAGCCGCATACTGACCCTTCAGCCACATACAGCAACGCTGTGGTTGCCGTGCCTCTCCAGGGCTTTTCAGATGGAAAAACAACTCTCCAATAAGACTTAGACATGGAAAAAATAGAGCACCACTTACAGTATATTGGTAGCAAACGGACACCTCAGAATTGTTTTGTGTACAGCATCAGTATCCACCATGTAGCCCGTACTGTTAGGCGTGAGATGTTACGCAGCGCCATCTCTTGTAAAAGATGCTATATGGTCATTTGTATAGTGTATTGCTCATTGACTTGTGAGAATTCAGCTGTCTGAAGCCTCTCCAGAGGACAAAATGGTCCTCACGCAAAATGAATTTATTTTCAACAGGCACAGACCAGGAGCTGTTGAACGTTCCCACGTTCAGCTATGTGATGGCTGGATGTTTTTAAACTGGGGCAATTAACCATTAGTTGAATGGCTCCCAAGGCGGGCAGCAGCTGATCCGAATGCAGGGGCAGTTTGGGAAGCCGCACGTTCTGCTGCTGACTGTTCTCCTGCGGTTCCAGCTACCTGTCCCACCGGACCCAGGACCGGACCCAAGACCAGGTTCCGACGCAGGGCCAGTTCTCCCATCCTCAGTTTCCTAGTGGCGCACCTCCGGTCCGGAGGGACCCCCGGGAGAACCTGTCTGACGGATCTGACGAGGACACGACCTACGAGTCCGCACTGCCCTCTCCCGGACACAGAGCAATACCGGTGGGTGTGGCCCAGCTTCTTTACAGCACATCGGCCAGCTGTCCCGCTCAAGTGAGCACAGAGACCCGAGCACAGAACCCGCAAGGAAGATGAAGTGCAAGGCGGGCGCTTTGTGTTGCTGTCTTACGCAGTCTTTATTGTCTTGGCGGCTGTTCACAGACAATAGATGATGTTTATTGTCATAGATGAACATGCGGCTGTTCATCTATGAATCGGCTTCATCACTCTGCTCTCCTCCCCACTGAGAGCTGGTTTGTGGGGAGCGTTCTGGCGCACTATGGCTGCCGTCACATCATCCAGGTGGGGGCTGCACACTGGTGGTTGTGGAGGGGAGTCCCCATCACCTGTAAAGCTCTTTGAGTGGAGTGTCCAAAAAAGCGCTATATAAGTGTAAGCAATTATTATCATTATTATAATTAAGCAATTATTCAAGGCAGGGAACTCCTTACACGACTCGGTGCTCTTAATGAACATCATTGAAAAAACCCACCACAAAGTATGAAGTGGCATGCTGTCATGACAGCGAGGCGGTCGTAGTGACACACCTGATACTGGTTTAAAACTCAGCCGAGGAAGGTGAGACTTGGAACGGAGATCGTGAACGAAAAGGGATGTTGAAATGTGGAACGCACAATGTAATTTTGAATGAACTGGCCTATAAAAGAGCTGTTAGGGAAGCAGTAATGGAGAGTTTGGAAGCGTTAGAAAGACTCTTCTGTAATTTTTGTTTTTAAAATGTGAGATTGAACGATGTGTGCGCAATACATGTAGCAACCCAGGTGGCAGAGCGCAACTGTCTGGTGCCTCTTGATTTTTAGCACAATAAGGAAGTCGTAATCACTGATGTACATTAAAAAAAGCAGTGGTCCTAACACAGGTCCCTGCGGTACCCCACACACCACCACCCAGTCCAGGGGCCTGCACACTTGTCACATATGCTTGGCAACTGATCACGTGGCTTTCTGGTAATTACCCATGTGGCAAAAAATAGTTGGTAATTCCGGATTATTAAAAAAAAAATGATGAGAATAAGAAAACATTCAGCTAGCTGATTTATTTCTAAAGATCAATCTGTGGAATCAATCTCCATAGCAATGAAGCTTTGACTCTGAATAAGTGGCTCTGTGGCTAAGGATCTGCTCCTGTGGCTGGAAGGTTGCCGGTTCATATCCCGCAACTGGCAGAGGAATCCTACTCCATTGGGCCCCTGAGCAAGGCCCTTAACCCCAACTGCTCCAGGGGTGCTATATACCCTGTGCTCTGACCCCTAGCTTCTCTCCCTGTCTGTGTGTCTCATGGAGAGCAAGCTGGGGTATGTGAAAAGAAAAATTCCTAATACAAGAAAACAAATTGTATATGGCCAATAAAGTGATCTTATAAAAAACATTATAAAGACGTTTCATTGCCAGCAATTACTGCTGCACTAACTTTGATCAAACTTTGATTGATTGATTGAAAGAAAAGGCATCCCCTACATATATCTGTCTTTATGAGTACCTTTTCTTGTTATTTTTAATTAATGTAATTGACACTTTGTTCTAAGTTGACTTACATTGTTCCCATGTGTTCAGGTGGGTATTTTACCAGAGAAATTCAGGTGAAGTGCCTTGTCCAGGGTATAACAGCAGAGTCTGGCCTGGGATTCGAACCCACAACTCTGGAGTTACGAGTTGCCCGAATCAATATTGCTCTCTTCTTTGTGTTGTAGGGAAGACCCTGCTCTCTTTGTGTTGCTCTGACAGTGAGACGTGTTGGTTTTGTTTTGCAGAGAGGAGCTGTGCCTGTACTTCCTTACAGAAGTGCTGCCACACCTGCGTACCCCCAGTCAGACTACAACACACAGATGCAGGTGCCCAGGCCCCAGATCAGACAGCAGTAGGGTCCCCCAGAGAGAGGGGAGGTCGCTGCTTTTCGGCTTCTCCACGGTTGCACTAAGATGCACTTTCCTTTCCAAATCAGAATGACAGGACAAGCTGAAGCCTTCATGTTGGCAAGAGCTGTGGGCTGTGATGGAAAACACACCGATGACTCGTGAAATTCGGAAGATTTATTTTCTGATTCAGAGAGAGTTAACTCCCCACTTCCTAACACACACACACACATATTAGGTTTTCTGTCTTTGCGAGTGCTGGTGTGTGGCGTGCAGACTGGCGCACTCAGGCTGCCATCCCATTATCCAGGTGGTGGCTGCACATTGGTGGTGACAGTGGGATTCCCAATTACCTGTAAAACGCTTTGAGTGGAGTGTCGAGAAAAAAAGGGTTTTATAACTGTAAGGAATAAGTCGTAGTAGTAGTAGTAAGTCTAATTTATTATAAGTTTTAGACATTTAATATTGAGCAGTACACGCGTCTCCCGCCAAATCCATTACCAGACAGCTGTCTCTTCCCGGAGTGGGTGGGAGCCATTCAGAGCCTTTCCCGGAAAAATAGGGTGTGAGGGGGCACCCCCCCCACGCTGGAGGGGTGGCCAGTCCACACACGCACAAAATGAACTTCTTTTTAACCTCATCTTTTTAGAGCCACATGTTTAACTAAGGGATTAGTGTTCACTTAAACTAGATTAACGCCGAGCAGCAAATTCCAGACGTGTTAAGAATGCAAATTTGTTCTCAACGCACAAACCCGCCTAGACCCGACATTTAAGTAAGTCGAACAATTTCTTTCGAAGGCGGAGCTCTTTCTGGGAAGCTGTCCACGGCAATACAATTCCTTGCATCTCCCGTTTCCTGGTCTTTATGCCATGTCAGATGTATTTAATAATACTGTACCTACTGTTTAGCCCTCAGCTGAAACTAAAAAAAAAATGTTTGATATGTGGGATAATTTGTTGTCTTGTATTGACATTTCATGTGTTGAAACTTTACAATAAATTGTGCAGTGCTTCTGTAGTATGTCGCAAAGCCAATTAAAGAGGAGTGATTGATTTTCATTTCTGGCATATACTGTTTTCTGTGTTTTCACAAGCTCTCGCTCTCAGAGTGGAAGCTTAGCAGTGGCTTGAGAAAGCTGTCAAATGTCACAAGTGATGTTTTTCAAGCACCGATTGCATTAGGAGCCACTGATCCCCCCCTAGGGTCATTGTTGGTTAAACAGTTCACTGTGTTGAGGACTCCCCGTTCTGTGGGGTGATATCGTTCTCTCTTGACTATTTCACAGATGTAAGGGCTTTCCTTGTCCCCAATAAAACCACAGATCTTAAATGGTCAGCATCACCGATTATCCAGTTTCCTCTGCCTGGACTGGGGGAAGACAGAGCACTCCCTTCAGAGAAAACGGATTCATTTTCCTTGACATGTCACTTCAAAGCCAAGTTGTTTACCTTTCACCTTGCTGGTTAACCACACACGGGGACTTTTAAAAATGCACCTATCTGGCAAAAGAACATGTCCTCATTTTACCCTGAAAGCCGTGCCAAGATTGTCTGGGGGTGTCGTAAAAGCCTGGTTGCCTAGGAAACGTATTGAATTCCACAGCCTGTACTACACTTCCCTCCTGGCCCCGCCCCGGCCAACCCGAGCAGGACTACATTTCCCAGCATGCTTGCCTGCCTCTCAGCTCCCACCCGAGCATCTTTGACGTTTATCATTTACCCGACTATTAATTCACCGAGCCGTCTGCTTCATACGCCGCTCTATGTACTCCATAAATATGCTAAATTGTGTTAGGCTCTAGTAATTTTCTCAGTTACCGATTCATTGTAGCGATCGGCTATTTACTACACTCTTCGCTGCCTTTTTTTTTTAAATGACATTTTTATATAAAAATTTCGCCAAAAAGGAAAAACAACAACAAAAAATCGCTTAAAATAGTTTCTCGTTTGTAATGTTTACGGACCAGGTCTAGATCTCATTTCTAAAAATGTAATTCGCAGAAGTTAATTGAAATGGCTATTTAAAGAGGAGGTCTGTTTTTATGCTTTATGCAAAATCGAGATTTTGCGAGGTTTTTTTTTTTCATTCCTAACGGGACAAAATATAGTTGCGGGCAAATTAAAACCAACAATTCTGTGTTATATTTATCCGTATCTAAAATATAAGCCCCAGGAGGATATGGACGTGGGTAGGCTGCAAGCGAACAGCCCACTAGGCTTTTAGAAATCATTTAATCAGAAATCAATAAAACCCGTCAGTGTTCCGAGCGCGCTCATGGCTGGGAAGGGGTTGAGCCACACACGCGCACCGACAGCGCAGTCTTTCACCCGGCAGCATCAGCAAAGAGCAGGGCCGCCATTTTCCCCCGCTCCGTCTCTATGGCGAGGAGTCGCTCCTCTGCGCTGCTGCCCTGCAGCGTCTAACCCAGAAAAGAGCACGGGAGCCGCTCACTCGAGTGACGTAAACAGACGGGGATCTGCGGCGGAGGAGGCCGCGCGCGCTGTGTGTGCTTCCCCCCCCCCCCCCCCCCCCCCCCCCTCCCCCTCCCCCCCCCCCCCCCCCCTTCTCTCCCGTCAGCGCGCAGCCTGATTGGTCCAGGCCTGGGAAAGAGAGTTCGAGAATCCAGAATGTGCAGGCCTCGGAGTCCGCGCGGCGGAAAAAAATAGCAAAACAGTCCCGAGACAAAGGGGAGAAGGGAGAAAACCTTCCTCGAGGCCGAACGGAGGGAATTCGAAGGCAGGTAAAGGGGGTCTGCGCGAGGGGAAACCGTTGAGGGAGCCGGCGGCGGGGCGGCCGGGGCCCAGTCGGCGCGGCCTGGGGCCTCGCTCATCCCACTCGCTAAGCCGCACAACAAAGGCGGCAGCGGCCTGGGCCTCGCCCGCGTCTTTTTCCCCGCCGCGGCGCCGAACCTGCGGCCCCGAGTGCGATAGATGCGACGTGCGTCGCGGGGAGCGCCCAGAAAGCCGTGCCGGCGGTTTCAAAACGCGAAGGTAAACGTTTCAGGCGCGCCGAGAGGAATCGGGGTTCTGCTTCAGGAGGAGGAGGAGGAGGAGGTAGAAAATGGCGGAAAACAAAATGTCGGCTGTCTGTCTGTCGCAGAGCGGCTTCGTCTGCATTGAGGTCGCCTTTCACGTTCACGTCTCAGAAAGCACCGGTGTTGGGGGGATTCTCGTGAAATAAAGTTGAAAGAGACCCGAATCGCGACTTCATAAGGGCCCTGTACTTGTGGCTTTGCAGGGTGTAGCGACGTGCTCTGTGCACTAACGATCTAGTGTCTGGTGGCAGCCCGCCTGCAGATAATTAGCGAAGGGAACCCGCCATGTTTTTCTGTCTGCAGCGGGGAGCTGTGGGCAGCCAGACTGACAGGGGCAGAGCAGAAGGGCAGTGTGTGCGATATGAGAACTGTATGAAGTCTGATTAATAGGCATATTCATGCGTTTCAATAAAAAAATAAGCCCTTCCATTTATTAGCGCAGTTAAATACATTTTTTTTCGTGAATGTGCAACATCAGTGTTTTGTGATCTGTTTGCTGCTTTAAAAAAATACAAAACATACGAATGTTCTTGGCGTTTGCGTCAACCTCAGAGTTTATTCCAAATCCACGAGTGTCTTTTTTTAAAATATTTTCTGGGCAAACGATCGCACCTGCAAACTTGGGTGTAGGTGCGAATGCAAATCGGTGTGTTTAATCTGTTGTAAGCCGTCTTTTCTGTATTCGTCTGATCATGCCTACTTGTATTGTCAGATGGATACAAAAAAACTTGTTTCAACTTGACACATTTTAAACTTTGCACTTCTATTCTATGAATGAGTTTAGAAGGCGTGCATTTTCTGTTTTGGCGGTAGGCGCGCTAACCTGTGGTACACATGCTGCATTCTGTCAGTGCTGTTGCACTGCTTATGCATGGCTGCTATCGCATTTTAAGAACAAAGACCCGTGTATATTACTTGTCATGTTTTTAAATAAACCTATTAGCTTTTCAAATTGCACGGTTTTATATTCTATTTGGCTCAGCGGGCTAAACCACAGCGTGACTGGTGATGTTTTCCTTCTTGATGTTTGTTATGCTGCAGCAGTTAAAAACATTATTTCTGTCGCACATGTCCTTATTTGTCATTTCCACATTACGATGAGCAACCTTAAGACACCTTAAGACACACAGCTTAGTAGTTGTGAGCTTTCCGAACCGCAGTTTGCTTCTAAACTCGAAATATGAAACACCAGAGCAGTGATACGTAACATCCCCATGATTGCGTAAATTTGGTTATATTTGGGGGTTTCTTGATATTGTAATTAGTTGTATTTAAAAATCAATGTTTCTTAACACACTGGTGTGTTTTATATTTCCTGATTTTTTTTTCTCTTTGTTACTTCTGTTGGAACCCCAGAAAAACTTGAAAACGTGGTACAAGAAAAACATTAAATCTTATAATATTAATAAAGGGATAAATGGCTCTTATTGGTTCCGATTTAATATTTGAGCAGCATTTACTGCACTCCATTTATTTTGAGAATTGATTAATAGCAAAACTGACCTTAACGTACCTTTGTGGAGTGGTTTAGGAAGACAGAACCGAAAGCTACATTTACAGCTCAGTACTGTTACAAATAAAGTATTTCATCTTTCTGCCTTTAGCCCAATAACGTGATCTTTGATCATGTCCGTTTTGAAAATTGTCCAATCAGTGCAGTGAAAAAGACCACAATTTTAAACCGATCCCAAGACTTTGTTTTTAGAAAGGAACCCCAAATAAAATTGTGTTCGGTTTTTGTAAGAGACGTAATTGCCCATTTGTGGCAGATTGGAGTTGGAGTTTAAATCCTGTTGAACACTTTCTGTGAGAAGCCCCATAGGAAGGTAAATGGCTGCAAACTGGAAGGTATCAGGACTGAGATTATTGCATTAATACTCAGTCCTTTTCTTGCAGGACCAGTGTGTCTGCAAGTTTCTAGTCCAGCTGGCCTTGTAGTGACAGGCGTGAGCTAATTATTGGCTTAATTGGACCAGTTGATCAACTTCTTCTAGCTTATCAGGTACTGGTACATTAGATCAGAGATGTCCAACCCTGGTTCTGGAGAGGCCTGGTCCAGCAGGTTATGTTGGTCGCCAGTAACTAAAAGTAGGGATCAGTTTGATTGTGAACAAATAAACGGGTGATTTGCAAAATTAAGTTATTTTGAGATCACCTAGGTTTGACCAGCTCAAGGGCTTGCATTCCCTTAACTGTATAGGTAACATGCTTGATTCATCAGTAGTTCACAGGTGTTGCCATTCTTTAGAAATAGGTGATCTGTAAGAGTAACTGTTTGACGGACCCCTGCAGTAGGCTTCTCATGCTGTTCACTGGCAGGCTTGCCTCATTGGTGTGATCTGGTGCTCATCACATCACATCATCGTCGCGGAAAGGATGTCAGTCAGATGCGAGCACACTTCGCTTCATCTGGGTAGAGCTTCCCTAGGTGGAGGCCTAAATTGTCTTTTTAACACAGACAAAATATAATGGCCTTGTTTTCTAAGTACTTAGAAAAGTCTGTGTGAGTGAAAGTGCTTGCAGGTATGCATCTGAGAAACCTGGTCATTTTAAATACAGCAATGATATGTAGAGACTTGGAAATACGTAAGTCATTATAGACTTTTAAACACTTAAGTTATGATATTTAAGTCATTAGTAAATGCAGTGGACAGTTATACTTTATCACCATTGCCACCCTAGAACCTACAAGGATGGCTCACTACTGAAAGACCATGTAGAAATGTTTTTTTTTTTGGATTGATACAGTGATACCTGTTAACTTGTAACAAGTCACTTTATTTGGGGCTGTCTGCAGCTGAATACTAAGCCATGTAATTAGTTATTTTTCACATTTTCTTTGTGTAGAGATTGAATTGCTCCAGTATTATGTCTTGGAAGCCTACTGGCTGCTAGCAGAGCTGATCAGTTGGTGCCAGATAGAATACAGTTTTAACTGAGGTTAACACCATGTGCAGTGAAGTTTCTGTAAGCACGTGAGAGTAGCATGTTGGCTTTCTTAAAAACTGCACTTGAGTTTGTAACCTAAAAAGAAACCTCTTTGTTCCTTCCTGTGTGATCTTTCATCACTAGCTGGAACGGTTGTATACGTTCAGAATCTTTGACCAAGTGGCTTTGTTTAAACCAAGTCATTTCTTTCTCCTAGGTACCTACCTCCTTGAAGCAAGAAAAGAATCTGGCAAATATTTTTCTGTTTTGTTTGAGAACATTGCATCAAATGTGAAGGTAGGTTTGACATTTATTCTGAATTACATGCGGTGGTTGTGAATCCGATCATGGCACACGGACGGTCGCTTATTGGAACTCGGGCTTAAATTATTGATTGAGGATGAAATGTGACAGACGTAAGGTGACAAAGACTCTGTAGGATGGGGAGTCTTGGCTGATGCGTCTTGAATCAAAATCAAAACCAGTCTGGTTGAGAATGACACTTGGACCTGACTTTAGTGGTCAGGGCGTTCCTTGTGAGCAGTCAGCCCAATGTGAATTGGTAGTGTTCTTAATGAAGTAATGACATTTATATAACATAAACTGGGCAGCAATAACCAGGCAGCAGTGTAGTATCTCAGACTTGTTAGCGATGCTAAGTTACAGCGCAGACGTCAGTGGTTTCGTGTTTGGTAAAGACTGGAAGAAATGGAGCTTCTTGTCTTTTTCCTCTGCTCTGAAGCTTTTGGGATCTCAAAGAACATGGACCAAGGAGGAGGGGGGTTGGAGCTACAGTCGCAGGATTCGAAAATGCCTCACACAATGATAATGCAAGACTTCGGTAGGTATCCAAATGCAGAGCTAGATAATGACGCAAATGGGTACAAGCTCCAATTGGTCATTTTTCTGCAATTGAATTCTTAAGTGTTTTTAAGAGAGGTTCACCTGGCTGATTTGTTCTCTCAGTAGCAGGCATGGGTGGTATGGCCCACATCGACGGAGACCACATCGTGGTGTCGGTGCCGGAGGCGGTGCTGGTGTCCGATGTGGTGACGGACGAGGGCATCACCCTGGAGCACGGGCTGGAGGCGGAAGTGGTGGAGGGCCCCGAGATCGGACAAGGCGACGTGGTGACCGCGGATGGCGTGATCGTCCCGGAGTCCGTGCTGGGGGCCGAGGTGGCCATCGAGGAGGCGCTGGATGCTGACCACCACGTGCTGACTACGGACCTTATTGCCGAGTCTGTCCGCGTGCCCGACCAGGTATTCGTGGCTGACCTCGTGTCCCATCAGGACGGCCACTTGGGCCACGAGATGGTGTCTGAGGAGGTCATGGTCACAAACTCGGACTCGGAGACCGTGATCCAGGCGCATGAGGGTGTTCCGGCCTCTACTGTCACCATAAAGACGGAGGACGATGAAGATGGCAAGAGCACCTCTGAGGACTACCTGATGATCTCCTGTGAGTGTCTTTACTTTATGACCAGGGCTGCTTGTCAGTGTGACCACTGCAACTTGTCAGTGATGGATTCATAAGTAGTTGACAATTGCTTTAACGCTTTCCTTTAAGTGATGGTCCTTCCGAAGTATAGGACATGAAACGGGCATCTGCCCTTCCTGTCCTCCTGCCCTGGCTATGTTTAGCATCTCTTTAGTTAGATGTAAGAATTTTTGTTTTTTAACTGCTTTGTTGGGATGAGACTAGGTAGCTGAGAGAGTTAAGTCTAGAAGTTGTTAGTTGATTCTGCTTGTGTGTGGTTGACACGCCTGTTGTTTCTTGACAGTGGATGATGTGGGGGAAAAGCTGGACATAGGAAACACGCCCTTGAAGATCAGTACTGAGGTGACGCAGGACGATGGCTCGAAAGAAGATGGGTTTGGGTCAGAGGTCATAAAAGTGTACATTTTCAAGGCTGAAGCAGAAGATGATGTTGAAATAGGTGAGTCATTTGCATTTTGCTGTGCTGTATGTTTACTTGTAGGCTGCAGACAAAACAGGGTTGTGAATGACAGGGGTCAGAGGGATTAAAATAGATAGTTTTAGCTAAAAATAGTTTATAAAATGAATTTGTAGACATTTAATCTTTAAAATTTTATATTTTTTATGGCTGGCCTGTGACTGAAACTGATAAGTTTAATCTTGCATCCTTGTTGCAAGACATTTTATATGAAAAGAACCAATGTAGGTATAAATGTCTAGACAGTGTTTATTGTCTGATATTGAAAGAAGAAAGCTAGCCTAATACACAGCCAGTCCTACACTGTTTCTTGAGATGCAGTAAGGAGGTCTTGAGAACTGTTGTTGTTGTGTGAAGGTGGCACGGAGGTGGTGACGGAGAGCGATTTCCACAATGGCCATGCGGTGCTGGAGCCCGGCAGTGTGGGACGGCTGCCGAGGGAGAAGATGGTCTATATGGCAGTCAAGGACACCTCTCAGGAAGACGAAGATATCAGTGAGTATATTCTCAGTTCCCTTTGCCTCCCTGACATCATGCTTTTGATTTGCTTCATTTTGCTTTTCTATTTGTCCCGTGTGATAAATATTCTGAATCTGTGCAGCCTAATTTAACAATTTAAAAGCCTAAGTCTGTATATAAAAAGAGAGGCTCTAGAAAGTCCATCGTGGTCCACCTGCTGAGTCCTTTAGAGGCTTAAACCCGAATGTCATGGGGGGGGTTCAGTTCCTGTTTCCATTCCTATCCAGATTGTGCAGAGATTGCAGATGAGGTTTATATGGAGGTGATTGTCGGAGAAGAGGAGGCTCCCGCTATGCAGGAGACTCAGCTGGATGATTCTACGGTTAACAAGACGTTCGTTCCTGTGGCATGGGCAGCTGCATATGGTAAATATATTTGCAATCTGATACCTCAGGATTAATTAATTTAATTGTTTCTTTTACATACCTGACCAAAGCCCTGTAAGATATCTTATTTTTTCCTGCAAATCTTAGCACACAGGAAAGTTTGCTGTGAAGAGGAGATGTTTAAATTACGATCTTTGAAATGAATGTCCTAATGCTTTCCTGATGAGTTTGGTATTGCTATTTGCTGTTTTTATTGGCTAGCTTTAAAAAAAGAAACATTTATTGTGAAGGGTAGGTATAAGACGTTGGTACAAGTACCATGATAATTTACAATGCTTCAGATTCAAGATAGTCAGCAGGAAATTCCAGTATAGCCTATGTGCAAAGCAAAACTAGTTGGACAATATGTAAGCTAATGGAAAGGGTAACTTTGTTTAATTTATTTCTGATATTGTTATGAAATTGGTTCTGACATATTGGAAGATGTATTGCTAGACTCCATTGATCTAGTTCTCACACGTAGTTAAAATAAAACACCAAGGAATAAGATTCTTAGGTCTGTTTCGGAACAGGTTTTTCCACTTTATTCTCTCTCCTGACCAGGTAACAACCTTGACACCAGGTTAGAGAACAAGAATGGAGCAGCCACTCAGTACTTGCAGATTAGCGATAGCATCAGCACCAGCAGGGCACTCAAGCAAAAGGCCAAGAAGAAGAAGAGGGGAGAGACACGACAGTGCCAGACCGGTAAGGGTCCTTCCGAGCTCCGAACTGTTGAATTCTGTGCAAGCCTTGTGCTTTGTTTTACATAAAGCAGTTAGCTGAGCAGTCCTTGTGATGAAGAGCTTGAGGGGTAGTTTTGTTGTAATGTTTCTTGCTGGTTCAGTGTGATATGACACCAACGTGTCTTAAAGTCCCGTTAGGCATTCGATCGTGTAACAGCCGAAATAGCACTGCTGTGATGTTTGATTGGTAGGCTTTGGCAATGTGCATTTTTTGCACCCTGAACAAAGCCTTACTCTTTGATAACATTGTGGGCTGTTTTACAGTTGTTACACTGTCCACTACCTCTTCTTCCTCAGCGGTGATCATTGGTCCGGATGGGCAGCCTCTGACCGTCTACCCCTGTCACATCTGCGGGAAGAAGTTCAAGTCGAGGGGTTTCTTGAAGCGGCACATGAAGAACCATCCAGACCACATGTTCAAGAAAAAGTACCAGTGCACAGACTGTGACTTCACCACCAACAAGAAGGCCAGCTTCCACAACCACCTGGAGAGCCACAAGCTGATCATCAAAACCGAGAAGATCCACGAGTTCACCGAGTACACGCGCCGCTACCGCGAGGCCAGCCCCCTGAGCTCCAACAAGCTCATCTTGCGCGACAAGGAGCCCAAGCTGCACAAGTGCAAGTACTGCGACTACGAGACGGCTGAGCAGGGCCTGCTCAACCGCCACTTACTGGCCGTCCACAGCAAGAACTTTGCCCACGTGTGCGTAGAGTGTGCCAAGGGCTTCCGGCACCCCTCGGAGCTGAAGAAGCACATGAGGACCCACACGGGCGAGAAGCCGTACCAGTGCCAGCACTGCGAGTTCCGCTGTGCTGACCAGTCCAACCTAAAGACTCACATCAAGAGCAAGCACGGCACGGACCTGCCCTACAAGTGCGGCCACTGCCCGCAGGCCTTTGCCGACGACAAGGAGCTGCAGAAACACACGGAGATCTTTCAGGGCCACAAGACTCACCAGTGCCCGCACTGTGACCACAAGAGCACCAACTCCAGCGACCTGAAGCGGCACATCATCTCGGTGCACACCAAAGACTTCCCGCACAAGTGCGAGGTGTGCGAGAAGGGCTTCCACCGGCCCTCGGAGCTCAAGAAGCACTCGGAGACTCACAAGGGCAAGAAGGTCCACCAGTGCAGGCACTGCGACTTCAAGATCTCCGACCCTTTCACGCTCAGCCGCCACATCCTGTCGGTCCACACCAAGGACCTGCCCTTCAAGTGCAAACGCTGCAAAAGGGGCTTCCGGCAGCAGAACGAACTCAAGAAGCACATGAAGACTCACAGTGGCCGGAAAGTGTACCAGTGCCAGTATTGCGAGTACAACACTACGGACGCATCAGGCTTTAAGCGGCACGTCATATCCATTCACACCAAGGACTACCCGCACCGCTGTGAATACTGCAAGAAGGGCTTCAGGAGGCCCTCAGAAAAGAACCAACATATAATGCGGCACCACAAAGACGTGATGTAATGTTGTGCATCCCCTTCCTGGCTCCCGGCGGCCCTTTCTGGATTTGGGATAAACTCGGGGGAGGGCGAGGGGGGGAAGGGGCGCGAAGTTTCTATGGTAAATGATGGTAAAATTTTAATTAAACGTTTTCCTTGTCAGTGCTGATTCACGCCTTTTCCGGGAATTGTAAAATGTAAAATAACGTCTTAAAACCGCAAAACTAAATAAGAAAAGTATTAAAGAGTCAGCGAGGGGAGGGGTCGGGGCGAGGGTTGTGGGAGCTGTGTTTTTTTTTTTTTTTCCAGTCCTTCGTTTTGATTTGCTGCAAAAGAATCACTTGTTAAAACATTCAGGGGTTCAAATAATGTCCCTTTTTTATTACACCTTGCGCATTTAATGCAAACGAGAAACAGAAAAATAATGCGTGAAGTTTAATTTGGGGAGTGGTGCTCATAGATGGTATGTCGGAGAACTTGTCAAATGGATTTCACTCTGGTCTTCGTTAGATTTTATATGGGGGAGTGCTGCTTTTGTCATCCGAAGTAAATGTGTTTTTTACATGCTAGGAAGTCTGTCTCTACCAGCCTTTGCACAACAAACTGTATCTGTTTAATATTCAGCAAGAAACCCAAGCAGTGTTCATGTGTCATATATGCAAATGTTCTGCTTGGGATCATCTTAAATTTGTAACACCATTTCAGATTCAACCTGTAGTTATAATCGAGTGAAACCCCCAGATATTTCCAGTAACTGGCAACAGGCTTCCACAGCATCTCAAGCAGGTTCCTAATCTTTCCTTTAGATACTCTCGTCCTGTGTGCTTACCTTCCTCCCCACCTGATTGTACAAGAAATGTTGCATACTGTCTCATTGCACTGGCTTAATTCCTAAGGACTACAATCAGCTCACTTGTGCAGATGTGCGACACACGGATTAAGCGATTGTTGAATTTGTTATGTATTAAAATGAATAAGACTTGAATGACTGAAGCTGACTTTTGGTATCTCAGATCCTGTTTACTCCCTCCAAAATAGAAAATGTATCCACTTTCTCCATGTAATAGTACAATGTCAATTTATATGTGTGTGTATATATATATATTTTACATTGCACTATGTAACCGTTAATTTTCAGAAGTGGTAGGTCAGTCATGCCTTACACTAAAATTGCCTGTTGAATTTAATACTTTTTAATACACTGTGACACTGGATTATTCATCTTATTTTTTTACAAAATTTCCCCTAGCTCTTCAGAAACGAGTTGCTAGTTGTGAATATCTTATGTTATTCAACGGTGTCAGGAAAAGAAATTTGATTGGATCAACAAGATTATTTTTAATTTATTCGACAGTAGTGGGAGCAGGATTTGTGTTTTAAAGCAGTGACTAAAGCATAAAGAATTCTCAGTGGTACAGAAACTCAATCCGTTCAATGCTATCTGAATCGGTTTTGTTCCTTTTTAAATTAAATTCTGTAGTTCTGAGGTATTTAGAATCCCAGAACTTGCCTGTCATTGAGTGTTTTCAATTGCATACAGCCATTTCTTAGTGTCAGTACTTCAGACCAATTCAAACTTTTTGAAAGTCCCGGGTTTAGTGTGTGCTACCAGTCCACGATCAGCGCGTTAGTCAACTAAATGAGTGTTTACATTGTTGCCTCCTTTTGAAATTGCTTACCTTTAAGGAATTTCCCAGAAGTGTTTCTGTGTTGTTGCACAAATAATATGTTGTCTGTTTTATGGATATATATCTGTGTTCAGCATCTCATGTACTTTACATGTTCAGTTCTTAAAGGACCATTGTACTTAACATCAGTGGGATAGGACAGGGTCTGAACAGTTACTTGAACCCCTGAAATATTTGTATGTTTGCCCCCCAGTTTATTTCTATTAAAAGGAATCATATTCTTCCCTAAGTGAACCCTGTATTGCTGAAATATTAACTTCATATGAACATGAATAGCAGTGAGTGTACAAGCTGGTGTGCTGGCTCAAATGCAATTTTTTTCTAGATATTTTGTAACTGGTGTACATTTTACAATAAACTACAGATGGCCATAGAGTAACCCATTCAGCCATCTCTTGACTTTTATTTTAAATGGTCAAATCAGTGTTTTAATTTTAATTTTTTATTTTTTTGTGGTTGAGTGATGGCTGGCAAAGGAGTAACCCAAATAAATGTACATCATTTTTTTTAAAGAAATGTTCTGTTCATGTCCCTGGATTTCTTAACACATTTTGTGCAGAAATAGTTGATGAAAGAGGCCAGGAGGGGAGGTTTGTGGTGTGCACAGTAGAAAATGAATCATGGGATCAATAGTGGTTCAAAAATCGACTTACCAGGGTAGAGAACTGGATTTTAATTCAAAGGTGAGCCTCACCTGCTTCAAACCTGTTTACATGGTATGTTTTCTATTATAAAAATAATGGAAATGTGCCACTTGTTAATCTTTGTGAGTCATGAACAGTTCCTGTAGGTGCACTTTAGAATTCATTGTGCTGAATGAAATGCTGGATTTTAGCCCATATTTATCCTGCCAGAATCAGCAGTTTATAAAAATGAGACTGTTTTAAATGTACTGTTAGACTCTTCACCAACCCCCCCAACCGTGGTCATTCTCAAATATTGTTTTTTTGATCGTCAGGATGCCGTTTCTATCCTGATTTAAACGGCATTGAAAGATGCTGCAACCTTTTGAGATGTGATAGCACTGCTTTATAATTACTTATCTGTATGGAGGTAGTAAAGTACTGTATATATATAGTTACTGTAGTTTCTATTGCAACTTGTCGCCCCCTCTTCTTTAACTGTACTCCTCCCTTTTCTCCCTGTAAAAGGAACTGACCAGCTAAAATATTGATGCTATAATGTTTAAAGGAAAATAATGTTCACGAAAATTTATTTAGTGGAACTACAACTTTTTATCAAAAATGACTTCCGAATATGGAGGTACTCTTTCTTTAGTTTCTTTTCACAGATTTGCTGATATTGAAATGTTTTGTCATGAGAAAAGCATGGGAGGGTGAATGTTTTTTGGAAGACCCAACAAGCTACAGAATGCTGTAATATGAATAGTATAGAAATCAAGGAAATTTGGTTTAATGGAGAAAAAGCTTTCCAGTACTCCCAACCTTAAGACACTTAGTTGAGTTTGCGGTTATTTGCTTACATCTAATGAATACTCATTTTGTAAAGTTTCTCTTGCTGAGCTGAAAGTGTGCTGTGCCAGTAATTGGACAGTAGATGTCGGTAAGAGTCCATTTTAAAATCACATGGTAATAACACAGTGTGTTAGTGAAAAGTATGTCTGTTGACATGTAACATAGTTTTGTGTGATCTGTTAACTTCTCTACTTGCAGCTTTCATGCCTTGTTTTGTGGTGCATTTTTTTGAGCTAAAGTTGTAACGGCTAGGTTTTGTTAACGTTTAAAATGTTGCAGCACAACTAACGCGAGGTACTTTATTTTTTGAAGTTCCTCATTTAATGCACTGCTTCCTCCTACTCCTTGTGATTGTCTCCCAGTACATTCAAAGGAGTTAAAGCTGCACAAATTTACCAGACAGGAGTTAAGGACATAGAAGGTCATCCGAATGGTAGAATTAACGAACAAAAAACAGGAACCACTGATTATGACTTCTCATTTACATTTGTTTCACTGACTTTAAAATACCAGACTTTCCCGTTACACCACTGCGTTTTTTCATTCGAATATATACAGTATATTTTAGAAGAGAGTCCAGAATATGTCCCGGCTATTATGCACGAGTTACTGCTCTTAATTCCTCTTGAAAAACTTTTTGGTAATGCAGATTTTTCTGGGTCACCGAACTTCTTGTAACAACAGTAATGTAACAAAGTATTTATCTACTAAGTTAACATTGTAATGGTGTTGAATATATTAAAATCTTTTCTAAAAAAAGATTGGGGGTTAAGCGTTATCTATCGAGCCAGTCAGGTCTAGAGAATCACTGGATACTTGGCAAATTTTTTTATCTTTAGTTTGCATTTGTATTCTAACGCCTGCCCCCCTCCTCTCCTCAGTCTCTTGAAAGAATATATGCCATTGAAGTAAGTCTTAAGTACTTTGAAATCACGCGCTCTGATCATGTTTATCAAAACATTCTGAATTGCAGGGAATTCCTTGCTCTCTGCACGACTGAGACTGTTTGCTCCAGGAGGTGGTACACTCTTGTTGGGAAGGAGAGTGAGAGCAAAGGAGGACACTCCTGGAATGCTCTTATCAAAAAAAACAATGAGGCCTCTTGCCAAAGGTAGATTGGAAACCGGCTCCTGTTGTGCATTCGCCGTCCACAGAACAACGGGTAACGTATACTTCCTGAATGAAGGACCAAAACGTGGCCTCTGGTGTTTTGTTGTAAAGTGTATTGCAGTAATAACATTTCTAAGTACTGTGTTTCAGTAAATGTGAAATACCTGGTTGAATACACACACCCCCCTGGTTTCACGTTCTTGGTGTAATATGCTTACTTGTAGCCTTTGGATGTTTTAGATAATTGAAGTTCAGTGATTTTTTTTGTACCCCGATTTCCCTGCATGTGAACACGTAACTGGATCACTTTCAAAGCACACCTGTATGTTCTGGTGCTTACAAAATCTCGGTACTTCACTGAATGGTAAAATCTGTTTCGTAGGCTACACACAGCCCAGATGAGGCATCATTTCGCTGTACACAACATACTGTGTATGCAGTAATTTGTCACTTTTAAACACTATACAGAATTGTTTTGAATTATGTTCCACACCTGTAATACACACATGCACACGCAGTACCGCTCTGTATTTGCATTTACATGTAGAAATAACTTTTTTAAAACTAAAAAAAAAAACTATTTTTGATTAATATTTGTTCTGTTTAGACTTTTAAATTGAAAAACATGGTTGAATAGCCTGCCTTCAAAGGATCAGAGAAGGGCATTATTGTGTTTTTCCAACAACTGAAATTTTTGGCAGAAGCGGGTTCCTTTCTGACTTGGGCAAAGTCTTAATCTAAGCTTTTAAAAGGCTTCTTTTTCAAAAGCTTGAAAAGATGCAATGTTTTATGAAAAGATGTTTCTGTTTTATTAGTTTGGAATTTCTCAAATATTTGTTTTTCCAACTCAGCTTAAGACTCAGTGTAAACAAACCAATCCAGCTAAATAGTTGAAATGGCAAAGTTGCCTTGTTGTTGCTCTATGGTGGAAGTGTGGCTGTTCTGAAAGCTCTTAATTCAGCATGTCTTAATTGTGTGGAAGTCTACTTATGCACATATTATGCTACAGGTTATTCACAGAGTGACCATGGGAACTGATGAAACACTTCCCCTGAAATAGGGGATGTTCTGAAACATTTTTCCAGGTAGATTCCTGCTGAGTTAGGTGTTAAATCACACCTTCAATACCTTAATGTATGTTTCTGTTTTATTGCACTTTAATGTTGGAGATTTGAGTACAAGTGAGTGTGCCATGGCTTTAACAACAAGAATCACGGGAAGCTTTTTTTCTTAAAACAGTTTGTGGGAGATTTATGGTTCAAAGATATTGCATTTTTTAGCAAAAACACATAATGGTACACAATTAGCAAAAACAATTGGTCTCTGAATGAAACACTTCACTTTCCACAGACTAAAACAGTAATTGAAAAAGAGCATTTCCTCTGGCAGTGAGCATTTTAGACTCCCTTTCTAATTATCCCTACAGTGTCCCGTCTTCTGCGAGTGACAAAACAGACACCATCCCAATTTTAATACCTGTAAAGAAAAAGGTTTTATGTACATGTATACAGCATAGCAAAAGGAGAATTAAAATTTTCATTGCAGGTTCCTAAGAAAAAGAGAACCAAATAAGAAATGTTCTTCCATATATTACAGAACTTCAAAAATCTCAGAATTCCAACATCTTAGCCAGGTACCAGTAAAATAGGACAGATGGCTAAGTAAAACAATTTGGAAGTCTATCATCTACATTGAACCACAGTGACTATTGTCGCTTGTGCGATTTTCAAGCAGTGTCTCTGTAGCAAGAGGGAGTCTGTGAGGCATCTTGTGTTAAGTACAGATGTGTTCTTTTGCAGATTCAAGCAGCCATGTGTCCCAGCCTGCTGGGGTTGTGCTTTTAAGAGGCAGAATATCGGTGTTGTCTTCTCCAATTAGAGAGAGGAGAGCATCTTTGGGTGATTAATAACATCCGTCCTTCCACGATTCATCTGTGACAGGGCTGCAGGTTTTCGTTAACCCCAGTGACCTGCAGATGAAAGACATGTTTTAACAAACTGAGAAATTATGACGAAGGTGTGACTCTCTCCAATATCTTCTACTACCAAAAAAGACACTTTTGTAATACCACTCCACAGAATTTCTCTAAATGTACAGTACAAAAAAGTCTAAATGTAATCTACACATAAGACACTACTACTAAACACATATGTTCAAAAACTGCACCCCGCAAACATTATCAGTTGTAAATGAAGCCAGATTCAAACTCCGGTATCCACAGGTGTGAGATGGGAGTACTGGACCAGATGACCCTCCTGCCCCTATAAGAAAACAGTCCTTTCAGTAACACTCCGAGGAAGGCTGCTCTCCCATGCTGCACCTTAACCTGTGAAACTGTAAGAAAGGTGTCTTGAGGTTCCTCGGACCTTGTGTTCTGAGAAGTTTAGTTGCAGCTCCTATTGAAAGCTAACCTGCCATCTTGTGAATCCACTCACTGTTTAATTAGGTATGTATTTACGTCTTCTGAGTGTTTAGCGCCCTCTTGCTTCGATTTCTGAAAGTAGTTTACCTCTTAGAAGGCTGGGCCAGCCTGCCCCTGGGGGAGGCGGGCGTGGGCCCTCCCAGGGAGGAGCGACTTCGGCCGGGCGTCTGCTTCCCTCCTGCTGCGGCCGCCCTGCTGGCGGGGGCCCCTGCCCCACTGGGCGAGGCCGGACCAGAGGAGGCGGGGGACTGCGCCCTGCGCATCCCCCCGGACGGCACCCCAGGGGACACCAATCCTTTATGGGGCTGCCTACCCCCTCCCATGGAGCCAACAGGCCCCAGAGCTTTGACTGGAGCACGGAGAGACAGGGGAGACTGGGCACTGCCCCGCAGCCGGGTGGAGGGAACCCCTGCGGAAGATCAGGGCAGCGCAGTCAGAAGTTAAGACAAACAGGAGCACAAATACAAAATAGTTTTAATGCAGGACTGGTGGCACTCTGCAATGGTATCCTAGAGTTCAGGGTGGCAGTGACTGAAAAAATAACCCATCTGGAGCCATAAATCCAAAAAGCTCCTTCTCTGTCCTCTAGTAATGACAGCTACATGATTCTTCGTTCCATCCCTTCACCATGAATCCACCATTTTGATCTAACTTCACTTAATTATTTTTTTTATTTGACAATAGGGGGAACTACAGTTCTATAAAGTGTAAACCTATCTTAATGTGCAGTATTCTTGCAGATGCACTGTAGTATGTGCTTGGCATGTACATTGTGTTGAAGCTTTCCAAGCGACGTTACTGCCGAGTCGACTGCGAGTCCACGTGGAAAATTAAGTGCGAAAAATTCAAGGCACGAGGGAGACCTTTGAACCAGACAAGTCAACTGAAGACAAACCCCCCATTTGCAAGGGTGACCCAGTGAGCACCCGTGAGCCCAGAGCCCCGAGCCCCGTTTTCAGCCCTCCGCCCTGCGCCACACGTACCTGCGCTGGCCTGAGGGAGCCGGGAGATGCGGCTGCCGGGGCTCTGCAGGTTGGACTCCATGCTGCGGCTGTTCCTCACGGCCTCCAGGGAGCGCAGGCTGGTGCGCGCCAGGTTGGGCATGCTCCGCCGCAGCTCCTCTGACAAAACACAGCCCCCCCCCGAGAAGCACACTTCAGCGCCCGCAGACCTGATCGAGCCCCCGTCGACGCCAGCGCGACCTTTATTTGCCAACCCAGCCTGACCGAAGCGGCGCCATTACTCCGCTGCTTTCCCCCGAAGCCGTCACACGGGGGCGGCTAACACCGAGAGACGGAGCAGGGCGGTCTCCGGCAGCGCGTGCGCGGCGGCCTACCCTCGCTCTTGGCGAACTTCAGCAGCTCGGGGCCCGGGCCCTGCAGCGAGCGGCGCGGCGGGAGGGTGCGCTGGGCGCTGACGCGGCTGTACTCCCCCGGGGCGCTGGGGGACTGGCAGCGCGGGGAGCCCAGCGGGGAGGGGGAGTGGCGGTGCCCGCGGTGCGAGAGGCAGCAGGCCTCCTCCTCGTCCTCCAGGCTGTAGGTGTCGAACTCCTGGTCGCTGTAGGTGCCGCGGCGCAGGGACTGCAGGGACGCGCTGGAGCTGCGCCGGGAGACCGAGGCCGAGCTGGAGGCGTAGTCCTGCCTCAGACCTGCGAGGACAACACACCGCGTCTCTCCCGTTACTCGCACATTAGAGCCGGGATCTCCACACCTCATTTCGCTACCAGATAAAGACTGTATTTACTGTAAGGTCCTTCAAGCCCAGAAACAAACGAAGAACTAGTGCAAAACTGAGAACCCGAAGGAAACCATGACCCCCTTGACCCTACTGAGCTCAGCTAACATGAGCCAATCACAAGATCTTCCTGTATTCAACACCTCGCTGTAATTGCATTAATGGATTAATCTGGCACAGTTTGGCTCTGTCCAGGGTGCCCATAGTTGAGACTACTTCATAATTGCTTTGCAGTTAAAACTCATGATAAGAGGGTGATCTCGCTCTGGTGCTGTGGGAGGGCAATCACTCAACTGGATTTTGTGTGAATGCCTTTTAAATGCAATTACTCTCCAAAAGAATGTACCATTTCGCACGACCTCTCGAAACGGTACTCTTAATGGTGTGTACCCCCGTAACAGATCACTGCTGATCAACACCCTCTCTGCAGCTGTAACTCACTCTCTTCCTGCAGCCGGGCCATGATTTGAACATCGGTGAGGTCCTGCAGCTTGTACCCCATTGAGATGGAGTCATCAGAGGTGCTCAGCTCGCTGTCCACTGAGGACTGTGAACTCAGCGCAGAGTGCATACTCATATAACCTGGAATCACAGGCAAGTAGAACGCTTGAGGTTAAGATATAGATTTAAAGGCAGGATTTATTTTAAGAGTGCGGGAATCACCCCGTTTGTAAGAACATTTTCCTTCAGTGACAATGAATTCCAATTATCTTTTAAGGGAATTTGTCTTTGCCACCAGATATGTTTTTAAGGTTAATCTGGTATATGTTAGAAGGCTACATCAATTTTCTCATTGGCAATGCTAGGGATTTCATTACATACGTCTGTGAACTAGTATAGAAGAGTACTTGAAGAAATTCCCCCTTCTGGCTGCTACTAATAACATTTTTCTATTGAATTTGTTACTAGTGTGATAAAGCTGTGCAAGGATACTAAAACTGACATTGTTTTCTCAGTGTTCTCCAGTGTGGGAAGGGTCAGAACTTTACTAATAATGCTAGACCTGTTAAATATTGGTTGTGTCTGCAGCAGTGTAAATTCATTACACAATATACTTTGTTAAAAAAAATTGAGATATCCTAATCTATGCCTAAAAAAAAATCAGAAAGATTTCTCAGCACAGGTACTAAGGCCTCTTTTAAAAAGGGAATTTGGAAGGCATGAAAAGTTCAGGAGGCAAAGCATTGACACAAACGTTTCATGCACAGCGGTTATTTTGAGAATCAAATGTTGAACAAAAATATACTGCACATCATGCAAAAGTACAAAACCCTGAGCATGCAGAGACACCGAAAAACAAATTAAAAACATACTTTCTTGCAAAAAAAAACGTCACTATGCTTATAATGTAAATAATAATAAACACTGCAAATAAATTACTGTTTCAACACATTAAAGAAAATAAATCTTTAGTGGTTTTAGTTTAGAAAACACTTCTTCTAGGTTTGGGGATTTTCTTTTTGTGTGTCTGGGAGGGGAGAGGTTTTGGGTGCAGTGTAAAACACTTACTTGCTACCCAGTACCTTCTGAAGAAGCCCAATAAAATAATCCCATGCTCTTGTGTGTGGAGTGAACCTGGGCTGAGACTTTATCGTGGTGTTAATATCATGCCATACCTGAACTGCCACAGGTTAGTAGTGTTTTGTTAGTTGATTTGTGGTACCCAGGGGAGTTTAAGGCAGTGCTAGAACAGGCAGTCTCTGAGGTGGAGCTGTAAACGCACTGAGTGGAGGGGCTGCTGTATATATTCTTCCATCGGGCTGCTGAGGACAAGAAGAAGAAAGGCATGCACTGTTAGGAAACTGATTTCACGAAATCAGAAGTTTCTAAAGCAACACCTCTGCAGATTCCTCATCATCCGAGTAGACACAGCCGGAGAAGGGCTGTTTAGACAGTCAATCCTCATACAAGAGTTCCCCAAGACGTAGATGGATTTGTTAAGTTTCCGGGAAGGGAAAAAACATTGCAAAACACTAGTGAAAACAAAATAAATATTTTTTTGTCAAGGTACAGTCTTTGGATCTGCCTAAGGGACAGATCCGTCTCAGTCAAGTCAAGAACACGAAATGAAATATGAAAAACACATGAAAAAGACAGCAGAAACGAAAGATTTCAAGCGTATTCACTGCAAGTGAAGCAACAATTCCGGTTTTAGGCAGAAAAAAGGAGCAAAAGAAATGTATATACTTTCAAACAATTTTCTGTCAGCTTTATTGTTGTCCTTTTATGGTTATATTAAGGACCTGAAATGAAAAACAGATCCTGGCTCGAACAGTGATTTGAATAGGTGTTGATATCCTGCACCACAAGACAGGAAGTGGGCTACTGTATCAAACCAGCCTTTGTGTTTGCTCAACAGAAGTCGTCAAAGTGATGAGATGGATGAAATTTGAGCTTATTTGTCTTCTAAAAGGATGTGATATGGGAATAGATGCAAACTCAAAACTGCATTTCCCAGGGAAATATAGGAGTGGTTATTTTGACCACGTTTCTGGCCACTGAGCAGTAATGAAGAAACACTACGGTAAGCCAAACTGCAAATAAATAATCAATGGACCTACTATGTCACACTAGCTCACATTAGCACACAAAGCTCATTCACTGAGGGCCATAGAGAGATGCTTGAAAAGGTATCTGGGGCACCATCTCCCACATGATGCAGCCTGGCAACTCACAAAGACTCCCCTGTTACTTTCCACATTAAATAAGACGACGCATATGTGACAGCGGGAGTGGGTCTTGGGAATTCAGCAGAAGCCATGTGACCTACTGAAGGTATTTTGTTCTGGAGGAAACTCATGGGACTAGGGTTGCCAAGGGTGTCTAGCGTCACCCAAGTCACTGAGCCTCTATCACACGTCCCCAGTATTGGCTAGGTCATGATACTGACATTATACAAATGTCAAACCGGTTATATTATGCTTTAAAATTTACATGTTTTTTTGTAGAATAGAGAATTGACCTCAGGGCCTTGCACAAGCCTGCTGTGTGAAAATGTATTTTACTCAGCAGTGCCATTTATTCTTCAGCCCAACTCGCTACACAAATAAAAAAAACAATTCAGAACCGGCGTTTAGTTCAAGCCTTTGCTACGGTGAGGAGGAGCAAGATGCCATGCATGTCAGCAGCTCTGACCCCTTGCAGTGTGAAAACCGCACGGAGGGGCGTCGCTGGGTGAGGACCAGGGCGCGCGTACGTACTCTGATCGAGGCGGTAGAGGAGGGTCCGGCAGGCGGCCTCCGTTTCTGGGCTGGGGTGGTCCAGCACCTGACGGCACCATTTTAGAGGAGATTCAGGTCTCTGCTCAGTCACAACCTGCTTCTTAGGAGACACGTACAGCCTGCAGGGGCAAAAGGACACCTTTCAGACGCACGTCAGTTATGCAGTTATGGCATACAGCACACAGCAGGGGATGGAAACTGGCCAGGAAGAGCAGGTGCTGACAAGAGAACAGTGAGATTTGGCTTTAAAAAGATCTCTCCCCCTCAACACTGCAACTTCAAGAAACTGAACATTTGCAAGTGGATTATCTCCGACGTGGTGGTGGTGGTGGTGGGGGGGGGGTAGAAAACCAAGAATCCACATACGGCTTAGAGATCATTTGCCATTTTTTTCAAATTCCAGACAAAAAGGGGGTTGAAGGCCTCAATCCCAAAACATATATCTAGATAACCCGGTCACAACAAAAAAATGCTCACAAACCCTTCTGAGCCTTAAAGTCCTGTGTATTATTGTTCAACCTGAAAATAAAACTCAGATATTATATGGTACAGGCAGGGAGGCGGCATAAGCAGCCAGCACAAACAGCGTGCCAAGAGCCTGATAACTTCTTTCCATTTCCAAGATTCCTCTAACTCATTTAACCAGCAGCCTGAGGTAAAGACAGCATATCTGCTGACCCATCTCTGCACGTCACATGCCAGAGGACTGGCAGAGGATTGTGTTCGAGTCCGAGGAGCAGATTATACAACTGCTCCGAGTTGCTTCTTTAAACACACAACAAGGGCCACAGCACACGCCCTCAGTCCAAACAATTACCTTTCAGCCTCATCTTTCGCCGTCCTCTCCCACATTAAACAAACCTGAAAAGAGTATCTGTAAGCAAGACTTGAGCAGCACAGGAACAATATTAACAACAGCTCTGAGATCACAGATCCTGTTTGTTTTAACTGTGGGAAATGGATAGCTCCAGCCCACAGAAAAGTGCACTACTGAAGAAACCATGGAAATCTCTCCAAGTGTAAACTCAATCCAGGGGTAGAATCTCAGGGCAAAACGTCACTTACACAGCAAAGAGGAGGCTTCGGAAACTTCCTGGTTAACCATCACAAAGAGAGAGTGGTATCAGTTAAATTCTAGATCCTCAGTAACTATGGGGGCACACATTTTCTGTCCAGTTTAAAAGTAAAAATGTTTTTTAAAAAATCAGAAACAAGAAGTCTAATTTTTTATTCAAAACCCTAAAGCCCCTCTTAGGGAGTCAATTAAAAGCAGTTGTTGCTTTTACCAGAAGAGGTGGAATAATGTTAGAATTAGAGAGAAAAAACAACTTTGAGATCTCTAGTATGGAGAACGTTAAATATAACTTTTATGGTCAGGCTGCATTCAATAGAAGAGCTGCTAAACTGCCAGAAGTTCAATCATAAATCTGTTCTGATTGACTTTATTCCTGTTACATTTCAAAACATCAATATTTCACTTATAAAAGACAGAGCTATTTTTGCTCTTGGGCTATTAATTTGTAAAGCTACAACGTTTCCACTGCTGCAGAATCAGAGAGGAAAAATGATTTGCAAAGTAAAGACAGACCTATTGATTGCAACCATACGATTATCTCATAAACATTTGCTTTCCTGGACTTATAAGAACTCGCAGACTCTCATTCTTTTTTTCAACATTACAAACCTCCCCAAAAATGAAACTCCATATGGTGTAAAAGTAGACCCAAGCCACACTTCAGTCACTTTAAGATTCGCATATTGATTGTAAAACATCGATATTACACATACATGCTTCACAGAGAAGAGGCCATTTGATTCACCTCGTTTGTTCGGTTGCTAGCAGGTAGTTGGTCTAAAGATCTCATCTAGCTGTTTCTTAAAATAAGTCAGGATAGTAGCTCCAACATGTCTGTGTAGCTTGCTCCAGACTCCCACAACTGTGTGTGTAAAATAGCCTCCCGTTTCTGGTTTTAAATGTAATTGACCTGAGAACCAGGAGGCACAGATGGTTAATGTTGTTGCTTCACAATGCTGGGGCCCTGTCTGTGTGAATTATATATGTTCTCCCCAAGTTCGTGTGGGTTTCCACAGTCCAAAGACACACCGGTAGGTTAATTGGCTTCCGGGAAAATGTGGCCCTTGTGCGAGTGTGCACAGTGACGGACTGGTGTCCCGTCCGGACTGTACCCTGCCTTGTGCCCACTGTACCAGGATAGGCTCTGGCCCCTGTGCCCATGTATAGGATGGAGTGGTTAGAAAATGGAAGGAAGGATGGTCTGAGAAACTCCTCAACCTTTTCCCTGGACAGCCCCGTGAATGCATCTACATTTCATTACCAGGCAACACAATCTTGATCCCTTCTGCCGAGACTAACAGGGCTGAGCATTCTGGTCTAAAACCATCCTTCCAGGACTTCAGTCCAACCCATAAAATCCCCCTTTTCATGTTAAAAGTTTTTCCTCAGACAAACTGCATGATATCCATTATCTATATAAAAAAAAAAGAAAGATGACTTTTCTGGAATTATTTAGTTACTTCAAATGACCTTCTTCTAACATAATCAGACAGCTGGAATAGCTATGTCAGATGAGATTAATACCACTGGTGTCTTTGCTGTTTCTCTTGTTCTTTAGCACATACAAAACTGCAAGGTATCATAGGAACAAAGCTTACAAATGATGGGTGCTAATGTACCCAAAGCATTAGCGCATGGTGGCTCTATTACACCATGACAGCATTACACCAGTGCTGTTGGTGGCTCTATTACACCACACTAATGTTGGTGGGAGGGGGAGGAGACATCAGCCTTGTCTGTGCTCCTTTTTTCTTTTTTGATGACTCACAAAAAAATAATTAGAAATAAGTGGAGGCCTCTTCCATCCATCTGGCCTGTTTGGTTGGTGGCAGACAAGTGATCCGAGGATCTCGTGTAGCCGTTTCCTGAGAGAAGCCAGGGCATCTGCTTCAGCAAAATGGCTGGTGACGCGTCCCACAACCCTTTGTGTTAAAAACACGGCTAGTGTCCCCCCAGTTCCCAATTCAAAGAACAGTGTCACACTGTAAAACGTGTAATCAGATAGGCAGATGCTTCAGGATCTGCGTGGGGCAAATTCATTCCCACACACACGACGACACGCGTATGTGCCAGCTCTGCTGGCTGCCACCCATATGCTAATTCCCTTTGACAGCCTCCTGGCACCAGCACTTGCAGGGATGATGCATCTCTAGCACACCTCCTTGAACGTGCTGAGGAGAGTGGAGATGCTGTCAAGATGAGGAGGCTGAGGGACACATGCAGAGCCCGGCCGTGAGCATTAAAGCCCATAAACATGCATCATTACTCTTTCACGGGAACCCCCGATGACCAGCTGCAGATACATCTTAGGACCATCAATATGACTGTCACACCCCCCTCTGCACTGACACAGCGTAACCTTCTTGAGCGCTTCAGAGACAGTACTGCATCATCTTCATTACTGAATGAAAACGTTGAATCACTTGTCATGGAAAATTGACAGATTAATGTGACATGAGAACCTGATTTTTTGATAGTTCTAATCATTTTCTGCACCAAGCCACAAGGTACTAAAAATACAGGGGTATTGATCCCCGTTTTCTTTATCAAGGTAACAGTCCCCATATGGCATTCACAAGTACCCATTCATCAACGCTTTGCTCCACTGTTTACCTCTGTGAAGCACATACTGTAGTTCCACTCATCTGGGCAAATCTGTCTTTTCAAAATAATGCGATAAACGAGCTCGTTTAGCGATTCACTCAGACAAAAAGCACTGCCTGAAGAAAGTGGCTGTTCATTTATTTTCTTTCCAGTCCCTACGAATTGGTAAAAATAAACAAACAGGAAGCAACAGCCCCAAACAACAGACTAGAATTCAGCCGACATGCTAACCTCCTTCCTAAAGGTTAGCTGCTTCCCACCCTGCCTCCACTACAACAAAGAGATAAGTCCTTAGCTTAAGTCTCTATTCACTCCCCCCCAGAAAGGCTGCTCACTCAAGAAGCTGGCCAGGGTGCAGACTGTTGTAAATCTTTCCAACCACTCCTGTGGGCACAGGAGCCCCTGCGAGATAGATGATAGATGCACAGTGAGAGATCACTGAAGCATTCACTATACCATCTAGGCGTCTTCTATATATAGCACAGAGCAATTGCAGGAAAAAGCCAAACACTACTGCATTTCCACACAAACACAGCCAGGAATTCACTCTACACCAGCAAACCTCTAGCATGGCCCAGACCCTTGCCATTCAACACTTAAGATCCATCTTCTACAAGTCTGGTTATTGTTGCAGATTGGCTATCCTGCATACAATGAAAAGGCTTTGAAACTTTTTTCAATTAAAAAACAACTAAGAATTCTATGCTAACACACGGTATCATGCCATCCACTGAAAGAAACCTCAGATTTTCAGAAGAAAAGGTAAATGAACAAAAATATCCATATAAGCAAACAGATTTCAGGCTGCAATTTTGTTACAATGTACTGCTTTAAAAAAAAAAAAAGAGAAATCAGAATCCTATTTTAAACTATTTGTCTACCAGCAGACCCAAGCATGCAGCTTGAATTAGGTTTGAAGAAATGAGTCTCCTCTACAAAAACAACTTAGTGGCAGATACACCCAGCCACCGGGGTTTGCAAATCATATAGAAGCAAGATCAATAGGTGCCAGCATTTGTCAATTATAAAGGATCAGGGTTTGGACTCATTTACGCAAACGACTGAAATAAAGATTGGGACTTGCCAGTGGCTTGGATCTATAAAAAATCCAGGCCTCGGCAGAGTAAGGTGGAATCCACAAGTCTTTCTGCTATCTTGACACTAATATATTTCAAAGATGGGCCTTGTTAAGGAGTAGACAGGTGTGCCAACAAAGTCTGTGCTAAACAGAGACAGCAGCAGGCCAGAGATCTCTGCTCCTCACAGACATTTGCATGCAGCACTGTCACAGAACCTGCTGCTCAGGAACAAGGACAGGTCACTGTAACCTGAACATGCCATTCTCTCCGTCTTGACTTAGAAATGTTTAGTATCACAGGATTTCGTTGTAAATGTTCAAGTGTTGGCATCAGAGCTAACGTGAAAAGGCAAAAAATTAAATACTTCTTACAACAGTTCAAGTAGGTGGCTGCGTCAGCATGCGTATGCTGCAAAAGAACAACTAAAGGTTTATTCAATGCCAAAGAAGGCTCCACAGCCGAAACTTTGTGTTTATTTTTTTTTCCTCTTTTTACCATGGAATAAATCTTTACTTCTTACGATGCCATTAATGAATAAACATGCCTTAAACCGTGCTGTATCACAGTGATATGTTTTAAAACATTTCCCAGAACACACAGATGTTGATGTGCTAATGTGTCATTTAGACATTCTTTACATTTAATGGAACCAGTGTTTGATGACTAGGGAATTTTACACTGTGCTACTTTTGCACATTTAAGACATTTTTGTTAGACTTCTACACGCTTATTTGATTAAAAGGGACTTGTGAATTTATGAGTAACTGAATCAAGCTGCGTTTAGCCGTGCAATGATCAGTGGGACATTCTTGAAAATTCTTGATTTATCTTTTCTTTTGAACCATTCACACAAATAACACCCTCACACGTCAGCCTGCCAGCACCAAGGGATGCATGTGCTTTTGTGGAAAGCCATGACAGACAATAGCAGTTTAGCAATCACATTACATAAAATTGAGCTCCCAATAAATAAGTGAACAGATTAAGATGCAAAAGGAGATTCTCTCATCAAATCATCCTCCAGTGTCTAGTGCTATTGTACAGGTGATCACTGGGGAGCCAGCGACAGTCACATACGTACCTGGTGGAAGAGTTGGCTGTAGGTATCACAATAATTCAACAATTGCTCCAAATGACATAAAAGACCATGTTTATCTGTCACGGTAGCCTAATTTAGCTACCTTTATAATAAGATGTCAATTACAGCGACAGACTTACTTTACCGACCTTTAATCATGAGGCCTACCTGATTGTGGAGTGCAGAGAACTAATAGGGAAAGCAAAGAGTTTGGGAGCCTACCAGTACGTACCAGCTGTCTTCGTCTTCTGCCTCATCACAGTCCTCCAGGTCCAGCACCTCCACCTCATCAAGGGCAGAAAGTCCCAGCCTACTCTCAGCACCTTCTTCCTCCCCGCAGTCCTCTGTGTGGGGGTCCTGGTCAGTGCAGTCCAGTAGTGGCCTCTGCTGCGTTTCCTCCTCCCCATCCCCACCCTGCCTGTGGCTCTGGGGCAGCTCCATGTAGCCAGCGAGATGGCTGCCACACCGAAGCCCCTCCGCCAACTCCTCCTCCTGTAGTCTGCTGCTCTGTGGCTCGGGGGTTGAAGACTCATCTCCGCTGCTGCTGCTGTCCTGCAGCGGGGGTTCAAAGTTCGTGGCCCTGACACTGATGTTGTCGTCGTCGTCGTTGTCGTCTGGCCGCAGGGAAGTCGCAGACAGAGGGCAGTCCCCCAGAGTCCGGTCGTTGACGTTGCAGGCGGCGGACAGACAGCTGCTGGAGTCCCCCCGCAGGGTCTTGCCCCCGCGGTTCCGGAGCTGCTGGTTCTGGATCTCCAGCCGCCTCACCAGCTCCTGCAGCTTGCGCACCTCCTCCAGCTCGGTGCCCGGCAGGGCCTGGTCCGCCTCAAACTGGGGGCCCTGCCCCTCCCCCAGGCCCAGCCCGCCGTCGCCCCCGTGATCCGCAGAGCCGCTCTCCGGTACCACCATCCTCGCGCTCCACCGCAGCTGAAAACAGAGAGCCGGGGGGGTGAGACACAGGGGCTGGGTGCCACTGAACCAGCTCTCTAGCTGAAACACCCTGGCTTCTCACAAATACGATAAGGCACCGCTGAAGCACAAACACTTTCATTTGCCTTCGGCAGAGTCTTACAGACCAGAAAGAAAGAGGACTTAATCACAGAGAGTATCAACACGTGAACAAAAAGGCAGAAGATAAGCAAGCACACACCCTTAAAGCAAGCATACACGGCACCACAATAAACGCTGAAGTCAGCGCAGGTTTATCCAGCGCTTCTGAAGCACTTTCAATTCTGCTGTCGCTTGTTGCCGCGCGCCTGCCAGTTCCTGGAACTCTTCCCCAGCTCTTACTGTCTCGGCTCATGCCAGCTGCCCGAGCAAATCCCTGCCGCGATTAGCAGGGAATGAGGGAGGCTCAACAGACTGCGGGCTGAGTCAGCTGATCCAGTGCTAATTGGCTGAGCACTGGTGTCTTAGTGGGATTTCAGGGACTCAAGGCTCAGCCTGGCTCAGACAAAAAAAAAACACCCCAGCAGATCAGGAGTAGGCAGAGCTCCACATTTTGACGCCTCCGGTAACTGCACAGAGGAAAGAAGGCCAACGACGGGGTCAAACAGCCGGCCTCAGGCAGCTGATCAGATGAGGGCAAAAAAACAGCAACTGGTTCTGAAAACTCCCCCAAGCTGATATGATTCAGCAACATGAGCATCGCATTATTTACCACCACAGAAAAACAAATCAGTTTAAATGTAAAGGATTTCTGTTTAAAATGATAAAACCAGTGGTGGGGAACTTTGCCACAATACTTTGTTTTGCACATCATTGTTTTCCAACACTGCTTCTTCTAAGCTGAGTGCAGCCTCCAGTGACAGCTTAATGCCTGACTCAGATCCAAGCAATTAGGTTTCATAAGACGCTTGGAGACCTCCAACTGACTGATTGTACCTGCGCATTGTATTTTTTATTATAGACATTTACAGTAGTAAGGGGGAAAAAACTCCCACAGTAAGGACACAACAGGAGACCTATATAGCAACCCATCCATGTTTATTCCGTGAGGCAGAGCAGTTCATTAAACTGAACCTCAAAGGGTTTAATACTGACACAGGAAAGCCCAGAGCACTTAAAGCATCATGCACCTGCTTTTATGATGCTGACTTTAGAAAATACACAGTAAAATCAGAGAACAACATACAGAGTGTTCTCTTCTCTGAGAGAGAAAGCAGAGAGGAGGCTACCAGAGTGTCACGTCAAACTAAGAAACATTGCCAACACAGTTAAAACCTTTCTTCCATCTCACTGAACTTGAAGAAAACCTTTCTTCAGCATTTCAGAGTAGCACTGCAATCAACTATATATGAAATGTGGTTTTGTGTTGTTCAACAATGATAAAATGACGCCCAACAATGAAAAACCTCACCAACAGGCACAACGCAGATTGCAAAGCTCCCACACCAGCTTCAGATAAATAAATACACAATGAGAGTGTGCACATACTGTGAAGTACTGTAGCAGGATGCAGTTTCTGTCCCAGCCAGCCCAGGGTGAAATACTGACGTCCTGCAGAGCGCGATTTCAAACATCTGACCCTCGGACACCTCTAAACAACACATTAACTGAAACTCATCCTCCCTTCTAATTGAGCTGCCACAGTCTGTGCTGGTTCAGTTTCCTGTAATATAGGCCTGCTCCCTTTATTTTTACATAACCTAAAATTCTCCTTAACGCTACGAGACAACCTGGATATGGGCGACTGCTAAGCATAAATCAATCCTTAACATGATGTCAGGATGCAACACACACCCTTGTTTTAAACTCACACAAGGAGGTAGGACATTTACTTTAAAAAAAGGAGTAGAAAGGTAAAGCTTCACAGTAGGATTCCTAGTTCTGGTCCGCAGAAACTGCCTCACTTTGAGTGGAAAGTACGTGGAGAGAGCAACCGTTTGCATAACAGTTTGCAAAACAAATAAGGAAGCTGCTATTGCTGCTGGCAGAAACTATGAGCACGTTTAAAGGCAACCCGGTCCTTAGTTAACTAGAGTGCAGCATTTTCTAACCAAAGACCGGAGCCGCAAACCCTCATCTTTCATTAAAGCACACTTCAATGCCCGGTACTGAGCTAAACATAAAAGCTGGCGTTCCAGAGCCATAAGTTAGAACAAATGCCAAACAGATGTCCTTATAAAAGATTCCAGCAGAAAACAAACTCCCTGCCTGACTGAGTTAAGGACGCACATCTTCCACACAGCTTTGCGACTTCTGGCACAAGGTGCAGAGACCACCGACACTGCCGAAATCAAAGGTGAACTCCAACATCAGGCAGTAACCTTCCCCTGCCGCTGCGCCCTGTGATAAAGACGAACCCTGAGATTGCCGAGACCAACCAGCTCTGCCCAGTCAAATGCAGGCAGCTCCAGTCCATCGCACAAGTTGAACGACCAGTTCAATCACCACATAAATAAAGACACAGCAACAGAGTGTTTTGACTTTGTCCAAGGTTTAAGGGCATGATATGTTTAAACAGGATTATACAGATCGCAAAACACGGTCTGCAGAGAGTGTTAGACAGGGGGTCCCCAGTCCTGATGACCCTGACACCTGCTGGTTTTCACTCCCTCCCGCCTTCATTACGTACTTCAGCCCTCAAGTGAGCTAAGAAGTGGCTTCATTGGAATATTTGCATTTTGCTTCCAGTCACAGGTTTGGGATTGCATTTCCCTTACGAGACACAGAGGTTAAAACTCCAACCCAACCGCTGAAGAGCGGGGAGCAAGCGATCTGAAGTCAGTGGAGGGTTTGATTGTGTCACTGAGGGCTCAGCTGGAGCAGAAACCAACAGGTGTGTGTGTGTGTGTTTGTGTGTGGGGGTTCAACAGCGCTGAGAATTGACTGGTGTAAACCCTACTGCACAGCCCGTTACGGTAATACCACTGCAGGGCTATCAGGGTGCATCACAGATCGTGTGCTGGCCTGGGGTAAATAACCCCACATCCCGATACTGGAGAGAAACCAACACCTGCTGGTTTTCATTACAGCTGAACACCCACTTCCTTAAGGGGCCCCCCAGCTGACCCGTTGATGGGATTCATTCGACCTTGTATTATAACGGTTTTCAGCGGAGAAACGACGACACCTGCCCTGTCGACTAGGAGTTTGTCAGCAAGGACAGCGGACACCACGTTATTTCAAATTCGCGGGTGACGGTGCAATTCGGTGCCTGACACGTAATTTCTGTGTATACAGACACGGCTCGTCGAAAAAAAGTTTTTCTTGTTCGTTGCAGGCGACAAAACGACGGCGTCAGGACACGACCCGAAACCTTTTCAAGGAAAAAAAACAACAACAACAACAACAACAACAATCCATCACATCGAGAGCCTTGTTTTTGTTTTTCAAAGACTCCTCCGCCGTTAATTGATCAGCTCTAAACCGCTGTTTAGTGTTGGGGACGCCTCTCCCACAGGGGGCTAACTGTACCCCGCTGTCTGTCCCCGAAACCGGTGACTAAATTTGAATTTCTAACAATAACGGTCCCCGCTCCCTGACAGGATCCACGCTTCCCAACTGGACACACACGCACCCGGAGACACCTTACAGCCAGGGCTCTGTTCCACATTTTGAAACAAAAACACCGCCCGGCCAGCCACGCTTGGCATTTGCCACCCCCCTGAACATCACGTTAACTTACGATTTAAAAAACAAAAAACAAATACCGCGCAGGACACATTTTTCTCTGCCTCCGGACGGGAATCGGACCATAAACAAAACCTACCGGTTTGCTTTTGCCGTTTCCGTTGTGGTTTTTGCTGTATTTAAAATTCAACCTCGGTCGACGGGTGGGCCGAATTGTTCAAGCGCCGGCTCGACGGCGAACAAAAAAAAAAGAAAAAAACAAACGCTGGGACGTAGATGCGAAACGTTTCCTGCCGTTTCGGCTGTCTTTTCGGGTGACAAAAGCCACAGCAGCCGCCGCCTCCGCCTCCTCCGAGTCTCGCGGCACCCTCGCTGAATGATGCGCGCTCCCGCCTCCCCCCCCCCCGCTCGTGAACTGCGAAGAGGAGGCGGGGCCGTGTGGACCGCGCGTTGTGTGGATCAGTGGGAGGGGCGTGGCGTCCGGGCGTTTTACCTGTGCCGACGTCATCCTCAGAGCCCTGTAGCGCGCTTGCATACAATTTACAAAGTATTTGGTACAGGCAGCCTGAGACCATTTCCATCCTCTCCCGGTGGGGGGTCTTTGTCGGCGTCTAGAAAAAGAAACCTGCTGCATATAAAACCCCTGCCAGGGTGTTGTTCCTACGTTCATATGCGTTTGTATGTAGAGTCATAACAAGGTTAAATGGGGGAGGAACTCATTCGGGTCACTGGTAGTGTATCCGAAGACCGAGTCCAGCCATTTCTTGGCAGAAGCCGAGGTTTCAGGATCAGCAAAATGGCTGGGTTGCTGCTTCCAGCATCTACAGTATGTGCTTGAAGCCCCTTGCGCCACTATGTGCGCTTCAGTGACGAGTTGCGTGTGTTCCTTTGTAAAATTGTTATATTGACACACAAACACGGAATTGACGTGTAGAATATCTGTATACTATACAATTCTGCAGAATCTCTCCCGCAAAGAAAGAGCAAGGGAAAGTACAGAAGTACACACGAGGAACTTTCCACGCTTAAACATGTTCTGCCCCCCCCTTCGGCTTCACCTGAAATCTTCCGTCGCCTTTTCATGCTTTTTTTGTTCCGGACTGTTGGGTTTCGGGCTTTCAGGATCCCAGCAAGACCCAGTCAGATACCGTACGGACTCTGCGTCTTGTGTGCTGTTTTGTGTTGCTGGAGACGGAGCTGAGTTTGTAAAGCGCTAACTAGAGTCCAGTGTGCCGGATATAGCGTCCATCCAGCTATATGCAGGTGGGTGTGTTAAAGGTTAAAGATTGTGCTCGGATAAGAGTTTGGATGTGGGTTTGGAGTATTCCAGTACCCCATTGATGTGACGGAAATTAATTCCAGGGGTGTAGCCAGGAATTGATTTTTGGGTGGGCCTGTGCAAACGTGGGTGGCCCGGGCTCTAACTGACCGTCCTGCCAGCATAGGCGATTAAAATTGTTCAAATACCATGTCTTCATCACAGAAAGCAGCGGAGACAGTTATATTGCAAATACAAAAAAA